GCATAATTCAGTTTAATAGTTCCTGTTGAACTGGAAGATGGTCAAAATGACTTCTGGATACTTCTTCATTGTCTGCCCAAGTACTTGATAAATTGACCCTCCAAATGACGAGCAATGGGAAGTCATACTTAAAATATAAAATGGCCACATTTCAGGTGACAGGGAAAATCCATGATTAGCTATTGCTACTGCAATCTTGTAACTTACCTTGTCACAGTGATTAGCCTATAAATGACACTTAACTAAAGCCTAAACCAATCAATGCTTTTTTTTTTCTTTTTTAGGACAAGGGATTGACTCAAAGTGGATATGTGACTTAAATTGTTCCAATCAGAGTGAAGCACAGGTTGAAGAAATAGATCTTTTTTTTCAGGTTGGTGCAGTGTGACAGTGTAGGATCTGAGACATCTGTAGCCTTTTGCTACCATAGCAGAAATGATACTTTTAAATAATATTTTGGGAAAGGGATTCATCATAGCCAAGTTGACACAGTACAAAGCTATCATTACTACCCATTCATTGAATCAGTGACATTCACTTCTTTATATGGAAGATAGATATCGGGGCGCCTGGGTGGCTCAGTCAGTTAAGCATCTGCCTTTGGTTCAGGTCATGATCCCAGGGTGCTGCTATGGAGCCCCACGTCAGGCTCTCTGCTCAGCGTGGAGCCTGCTTCTCCTTCTCCCTCTGCCTGCCCCTCCCCTTGCTTGTGCTCTCTCTCTCTGTCAAATACATAAATAAAATCCTAAAAAAAAAAAAAAAAGATAGATACCACCTAGTTTTTTCACAACAGGTTTGTTGCCAGAACACAGGTGTCATACAACTACTGCTAAACCTAAACCAAAATGGGAAAGGAAAAGACTCACATCAACATCATCGCCATTGGACATGTAGAGTCGGGCAAGTCTACCACTACCAGCATCTGATCTGCCAATGTGGTGGGATCGACAAAAGAACTATCGAAAAATCTGAGATGGAGGCTGCTGAGATGGGAAAGGCCTCCTTCAAGTATGCCTGGGTCTTGGCTAAACTGAAAGCTGACTGTGAACGTGGTATCACCCTTGATATCTCCCTGTGGAAATTTGAGGCCAGCAAGTACTATGTCCTGATGCCCCAGAACACAGAGACTTTCTCAAAAACATGATTACAGGCATATCTCAAGCTGACTGTGCTGTCCTGATTGTGGCTGCTTGTGTTGATGCATTTGAAGCAGGTATCTCTAAGAACGGGCATGCCCTTCTGGCTTACACACTGGGTGTAAAAAACGAATTGTTGGTGTTAACAAAATGGATTCCACTGAGCCACCCTACAGCCAGAAGAGATACAAGGAAATCATTAAGGAAGTCAGCACCTATATTAAGAAACTTGGCTTCGGGGCGCCTGGGTGGCTCAGTTGGTTAAGTGACTGCCTTCAGCTCAGGTCATGATCCTGGAGTCCCAGGATCGAGTCCCGCATCGGGCTCCCTGCTCGGCAGGGAGTCTGCTTCTCCCTCTGACCCTCCTCCCTCTCATGTGCTCTCTCTCATTCTCTCTCTCAAATAAATAAATAAAATCTTTAAAAAAAAAAAAAAAAGAAACTTGGCTTCGACCCCAACACAACAGCATTTGTGCCAATTTCCGGTTGGAATGGTGACAACATGCTGGAACCAGGTGCTAACATGCCTTGGTTCAAGGGACGGAAAATCACCCGTAAAGATGGGAATGCCAGTGGAACCACACTGCTTGAAGCTCTGGATTGCAATTGCATTTTGTCACCTACTTGTCCAACTGAGAAGCCCTTGCATCTGCCTCTCCAGGATGTCTACAAAATTGGTGGTATTGGTACTGTCCCTGTGGGCCAAGTGGAGACTGGTGTTTTAAACCTGGCATGGCGGTCGTCTTTGCTCCAGTCAATGTTACGACTGAAGTAAAGTCTGTTGAAATGCACCACGAAGATTTAAGTGAGGCTCTTCCTGGGGATAACTGGGCTTCAATGTCAAGAATGTATCTGTAAAACATGTTCATCGTGGCAACGTGGCTGGTGACAGCAAAAATGACCCACCCATGGAAGCAGCTGGCTTCATGGCTCAGAGGATTATCCTGAACCAGCCAGGTCAAATCAGTGCTGGATATGCACCTGTGCTGGACTGTGACCCAGCTCACATTGCTTGCAAGTTTGCTGAGGTGAAGGAGAAGATAGATCGTCGTTCTGGAAAAAAGCTGGAAGATGGTCCCAAGTTCTTGAAATCTGGTGATGCTGCCATTGTTGATATGTTTCCGGGCAAGCCTATGTATGTTAACAGCTTCTCTGACTATCCTTCTCTGGGTCATTTTGCTGTTCATGACATGAGACAGACAGTTAATGTGGGTGTCATCAAAGCAGTGGACAAGAAGGCAGCTGGAGCTGGTAAGGTTACCAAGTCTGCCCAGAAAGCTCAGAAAGCTAAATGAATATTATCCTCAATACCTGCCACCCCAGTCTTAATGAGTGGTGGAAGAATGGTCTCAGAACGGTTTGTGTCAATTGGCCATTTAGGTTTCATGTAAAAGACTGGTTAATGATAACAGTGCATTTGTAAAACCCTCAGAAGGAAAGGAGAATGTTTTGTGGACCACTTGATTTTTTTGTGTGTGTATTTAAGTTATTAGTTTTAAGTTATTCGTTTTTAAAATCAGTACTTTTTAATGGAAACAACTTGACCAAAAATCTGTCACAGAATTTTGAGACCCATTAAAACAAAAGTTTATTATTTATTTATTTATTTATTTATTTATTTATTTTTAAAGATTTTATTTATTTATTTGACAGAGAGAGAGACACAGTGAGAAAGGGAACACAAGCAGGGGGAGTGGGAGAGGGAGAAGCAGGCTTCCCGCCAAGCAAGAAGCCCGTTGTGTGGCTTGATCCCAGGACCCTGGGATCATGACCTGAGCTGAAGGCAGACACTTAATGACTGAGCCACCCAGGTGCCCCTAAAACAAAAGTTTAATGAGGAAAAAAAAAAAAAAAAAGGAAGATAGATACCACCTAACAAAGTTTTCATTTTCAGTTTCAAGTCTCCAAGTAAAATTACTTGATTCTTGGGTGCCAAATTTGCTCTATTTGGCAGAATAATTACTTAATTCTCATAAGTAATTATTTACAATAATAAAAACTTGAACAATGCAATTGAACAAATGGTCAGGAAATATAAAGAGACAATTCATAAAAGGAAAACTACAAATGGAGAGTAAATATTTGAAAAATGTTCAATCTCACTAGAAATCAAAAATGCATATTAAGATAATGAGTTACCATTATCACCTATTTGACAAAGATTCAAATGAGGCCAATATGCAATGTTCATGATGCTGGAGGGCTGTGAATTAGTATTATGATTAAGAATGTCGATTTTGTAATATACATATCAGGCTCTATCTTGACTTCACATTTGAATCACCTGGGGAAATATTATTTTATTTTTTAAGTGTGATTTTTATTTTTTACATTTTTTTTTTTAAGATTTTATTTATTTATTTGAGACAGAATGAGAGACAGAGAGCATGAGAGGGAGGAGGGTCAGAGGGAGAAGCAGACTCCCCGCCGAGCAGGGAGCCCGATGCGGGGCTCGATCCCGTGACTCCAGGATCATGACCCCAGCCGAAGGCAGTCGCTTAACCAACTGAGCCACCCAGGCGCCCTTTTTTACATTTTAATTCCAGTAAAGACAGGGGAACTTCTAGAGATTTTATTTATTTGAGAGCAAGAAAGAGAGAGCACAAGCAGGGGGAGAGGCAGCGAGAGAGGGAGAAAAGCTCAAGCAGGCTCCACGCCCACAGCCAGCCTGACCCGAGACTCATCTCACTACGCTGAGATCATGACCTGAGCCAAATCAAGAGTCTACACTCAAAGGACTGAGCCACCTAGGCACTGCCAGACCTGGGGAACTTCTAAACGCAAGACAAACGTGGGTTCTATCCCGGATCAATCAAATCAGAATCTTCAGTAGTGGACCCCAAGTGCCAACATTTTTTTAAAAGCTCTCCAAGTAATTCTTTTTTTTTTTTTTTTAAGATTTTATTTATTTATTTATTTGAGAGAGAGAGAGAGAAACAGCACGAGAGGGGAGAGGGTCAGAGGGAGAAGCAGGCTCCCTGCTGAGCCGGGAGCCCGATGTGGGACTCGATCCCAGGACTCCAGGACCATGACCTGAGCCGAAGGCAGTCGCTTAACCAACTGAGCCACCCAGGCGCCCCTCTCCAAGTAATTCTAATATGCAGCCAGAATTGAGAAACACTAAGTCAAAAACTTTAACATATATATTGACTCATTGTTTCTGATATTAAAGAATAAAACCAGATTGTACACAAATGTTTATGTATGAGAACTTCGGTAATGTTATTATAGTGTAAATGGAGAATGAAGCAAATGCTCAATAAAGAAACATTGTAGAATACAAAACAAAATCTCCCAAACCAGGCCCATGACATCAACGTGTAAGAGAAGGGTGAGGAGGGAAACAAAGCATGCCACTGCCTAAGGCATTAAAATTTAAGTTACAGGAAAAAATGCTTTTTCAGGCTAGACAGAACTCTAGAGCTGGTTGTTGGTGACCCCTGTCCCCAATCAGTACGCTGGACTAGGACTGGGGCAAAGGAAGCCCAAACTATCGTAAACTAACAAGTCACTAGGATGGCGAGTACAGACACGCTTTCCTTAGTGCTGTAGGTTGCACATCTGATCCGTGGAGTGCCTTGTGTGACCCTTTTATTTACGGGTCCTGGGAGGTCTCCACAAGGGAGGTGACATCCCGGGAGTTACACATTAGTCGGCTAGTAAACAGTTCCCGGAAAAGCGCCGCGCAGCTCCTGGGCACTCAAGAGGCCGGCGTCTGAAGCGCGCCGAAGGGATGAACCCCCGGCGGAAGCTGAGGAGACCGGGGCGGGGGGCGGGCAGTGGGAGCCCGCGCGGGAGCCCGGTAGCGGGAGGCGGAAGCCTGCAGCCGAGAGCTCCGGGCGGCTTGGAAAACGAGGGGCGGGAACACGGAGCGGCAGCGGGAAGAGGAGGAAGGAGGGAGGAGCATCACGAGCTTCCCGCCCGCGCTCCCGGCCGGCTGCGAGCAGGCGCCTTGGCGGTGCCAGCGTCTTCTTCCCCGCCCTTCGCCGTCGCCACGGCGCCGGCTCGCGTCTGGTCTGGGCGGACGGCTGGGCCCTTGGCGGGGGCCCTTGGTGGGCGCCCTTCGGCCTCCTCGCCACGCTTCGGGTTTCGCCCTCCGCCTCGCCGCGCCTTCCCCGCCTCGGACGGGCGGGGCCCCGGCCCAGGTAACTGCCCGCAGATTCCCGCCGCTCCCGGCCGCCGCCCCTCCCCGCACCGCGGGGCCGCCCGCGTTCGCGGGCTCCTCGGTCGCTACTTCCACCCTCGCGTCGTGCGCGTCCGCGACCTCCCCCACCCCTCACTCCCCGCCTTCTGCCGCCGCACCCCGGGCCCTCGTCCTTCCCTCGCGCTCGGCCCTCCCCAGCCTCCCCGCGTCGCCCTCCCGCCGCCGCATCCTCGGGCTGACGGAGGCGCGGGAGCTCCGGGCGCCGGGTCGCCCTCCCGCCGGCGTGGGACGACCTCCGGTGCGCGCCAGCCCTCGGCCGGACCCTGGTCCTCCGGCCCCTGGCGGTCCAGGGGGGCGCCGCGGTGAGCACCCCACGGGGCGGAGGGCCGCCCTCCCTCCCAAGCCTACGCCGCAGGGTCGGGTAGAAGACCCCGGAGGGGTCCCTGGGGATGACCCGGTGATTTGTGCGAGGTGGTCGTGGGGAAGCTTCTGTTCGACGTTCTTTAGTGTAAATTGAGCACTGAGGAATAGATGCGATTTCTTAGGCTCGTCTGTGGTGGAAAAAAACCAGAAGAACTTGAATTATTCTCTGGAAATTGCGTTCGCCAATAAGTTTTGAATAAAGGTACTTTTTTGGGGTAGACTTAACATTTTTCCTCCTCACATATTTTGTGTGATTGAGTTTATTGTTTTTTAAATTTCTTTCTACCATTAACTAATTTTACTCGTTTCGTGATGTTTACTATGTTTTGTTACTAATTTTACTCGTTTCGTAATGTTTACAGTGTTTTGACTGCCAGTTCTCTGTGAGGCAGAAATAATCTTTGCCATAAAACAGGAGGTGAGAACATCTTTTCGGAGTTCTAAAAGATGAAAGACCATCATCAAATCCTGTAAGACTCTATCTTTACACCTTGAGCCATCTTTTTATCCTTTACATTTTAGTTGACCATACTTCTGAAATATTTTTTTATTATTTTAAAAGCTTTTATTTATTTTATTTATTTGAGAGAGAGAGAGAGCAAGAGCGGGGTTAGGTGCAGAGGCAGAGGGAGCGAGAGAAGCAGACTCCCAGCTGGGCAGGGAGCCAGATGTGGGGCTCCATCCCAGGACCCTGGGATCATGACCTCAGCCGAAGGCAGATGCTTAACCGATTGAGCCACCAAGGCGCCCCCTTCTGAAGTATTTTAAAGCAAATTCCTGGCATAAATACCTAAGTATATACTGTATCTCTCATATCTAGGAGAGGTAAGAACCCTTAAAAAAAAAAAAACAAAACAACCAAACCCAAACCCATAATAGAATTACCACATACCACCAAATATAACATTAATTCCTCAATGTCATCTAATACCCTGTCATATTCAATTTTCATCTTTTTTGAATTTGAAATTCAGGTTTATGGAAAAATTGCAAAAATAACACTAAAGAACTCCTATACTGTTACCCAGTTTGCCTACTTGTTTACGTTTTGCCCATGCTTTTTCCTTCTCTTTATACATGTCACACACACGTTTTTTTCTGAACTATTTGAGAGTCGATTGCATACATCATCCCTCTTTCTGCCTTGCTATTCAAGTAGTACAATATGTATTTCCTAAGAGCAATGATACTCTTTTATGTAAACAAGTACATTTATCAAATTCATGAAGTTTAACATTGATATGTTACTTTTATCTGTGCTATAGTTTGTATTTCCGGTTATGTCAAGTGTCACAATAATATCCTTTACAACGAATTGTCTTTTCTAGTACAAGATACAGTCCAGGATATTTCATTTCGTTTAGTTGTCTTATATTGTTAATCTTCTTTAGCTTCGACTAGTTCTTGAGCCTTTGTTTCTCAGGATATTGATTTTTTTTTTTTTAAGATTTTATTTATTTATTTGAGACAGAGAGAATGAGAGAGAGAGAGCACATGAGAGGGGGGAGGGCCAGAGGGAGAAGCAGGCTCCCTGCCAAGCAGGGAGCCCGATGCGGGACTCGATCCCGGGACTCCAGGATCATGACCTGAGCCGAAGGCAGTCGCTTAACCAACTGAGCCACCCAGGCACCCAGGATATTGATTTTTTTTAAGGACTAATAGCCCATTTATATCAAAGTCTTCAATATGAATTGGTTTCCTCATGAATAGAGTTAGGTTTGAATTTTTTGGTTGGAATACTATATAAATAATGTTATGTCTTTTTCAAATTATCACAATCAGAGGAGCATGATGTCTCCCTCATATAAGTTGTTAATCCATTTTCTCCACTACCATTTTTTTTTCCTGTTCACCGTTATTTTTTCCTTTTTTGCAAATTAAGTACAGTTGACCTTTAAAGCACGTGGGGGTTAGGGGTGCAAACCCCCAATCCCTTGCAGTTGAAAATCTGACTCCGGAAAAACTGAACTACTAATAGCCTACAGTTGGCCATGCCTTACTGTTACCACAAATATTTAACACATATTTTGTATGTTGTATATATTATATGCTGTATTATAGTAAGCTAGAAAAAAGAAAATGGCAATATAGTAAGCTAGAAAAAAGAAAATGGCATTAATAAAATCATAAGAGAAAATACACTTACAGTACTATACCATATTTATTGAAAAAAAATCTGTGTATAAGTGGATCCTCATAGTTCAAACCTGTGTTGTGCAAGGGTCAGCTGCAGTTGTGGGGAAATATCTCCAGATTATGTAAATATCCTGTGCCTTATCAGAATCCTCCCTCTCCCTCTGCCTCGTTTAGCATCTGTTGATGGTTCCTGAATCAAAATGGTGATTTTCCACATCTATCCACATCTTTTCCTGGATCAGTTTTTACTATGATAGTTGTAAAATGATTTTCCACATCTATCCTCAAACCAGTGTGGCCTCATTTATTCTTTATTTAATAGATTGTAACCTGTTGCTCATCTTCTTTATTTTGATGCTAAGAGTGTCTCAAATTTGACCTGTGGGATTTGGCCCATCTATCTTGGTCCTTTTTCTTTCTTTGAAGATTTTATTTATTTATTTATTTGAGAGAGAGAGCGCGCGCGCGCATATGTGCTCGCAAGGTGGGGATAAAGGGGGGGGAGTGGGAGGGGGAAAGAATCCCAAGCAGACTCTGTCCTCACAGCATGGAGCCCTAGGTGTGGCTTGATCCCATAACCCTGAGACTATGACCTAAGCTGAAACCAAGAGTCGGATGCTTAACCGACTGAGCCACCCAGGTACCCCTTGGTCCTGTTTCTTTTTGACATGCCCCCATTATATGTTTGCTTCTTTACTTTGGAACAAGATGTTCCAGGGCCATCTGTTTCCTTCACTATCTCTGCCCTGAAATCAGCTGTTTTTTCAAGGAGCCCTGGTTTCTCTTACTGAGGAATGGTACCTAGAAACCAAAATCTGGGGGTGCCTGGGTGGCTCAGTTGCTTAAGCATCTGACTTCGGCTCAGGTCATGATCTTGGGGTCCTGGGATCAAGCCCCACGTCCTGCTCTGTGTTCAGCAGGGAATCTATTTCTCCCTTTCCCTCTGCCCCTACCCCGCTTGTGCTTTCTCTCTCTCAAATGAGTGGGTAGAATCTTAAAAAAAAAAAAAGAAAGAAAAGAACCCAAAATCTGGGTGCTAGGTTTGCTCATTGCTACTAGAGTGTCACTGCTTCTATAGGCCCTTTTATTTTTTTTATTTTTATTTTTTAAAAGATTTTATTTATTTATTTGACAGAGATAGAGACTGCAAGAGAGGGAATACAAGCAGGGGGAGTGGGAGAGGGAGAAGCAGGCTTCCTGCTGCGCAGGGAGCCTGATGCGGGGCTGGATTCCAGGACCCCGGGGTCATGACGTGAGCGGAAGGCAGATGCTTAACGACTGAGCCACCCAGGCACCCCTGTATAAGCCCTTTTAGAAGACAGAGCTAGAAATCATGAGTTTTTATACTGATTATCTCTAGTTCTTTTTTTTTTTTTTTTTAAGATTTTATTTATTTATTTGAGAGAGAGAGAATGAGGGAGAACACATGAGAGGGGATAGGGTCAGAGGGCAAAGCAGACTCCCTGCCGGGGAGCGGGATGCGGGACTCGATCCAGGGACTCCAGGATCATGACCTGAGCCGAACGCAGTCGCTTAACCAACTGAGCCACCCAGGCGCCCAATTATCTCTAGTTCTTATCCAGCCCCTTAGGGCTCTTCTTTACCTTTCCCCATTCTTTAATTGTTTTCCATTTCTTCTACAGTGAAAGTACTGGCTCCCATCAACAGATATATATATGCATTTCCTCAGTCCCACCATACACAAAAAATAGCTTCATAATTTCTATACTCCTACCCCTAGGAAAAACAGACCTACTAAGAAGAATTTGAGATTTGTTTCTAGTTCTTTTTATCTTCAGTTTGAGTCAAAATACTGTATTTAAAAGTTACTTGAATTAATCCTTTTTCTTTTCATTGTGGTTATTTTACTCATTTGAAATATAGTCGGATTTGCTTCTCTTTGTATTAGGTTTTATGTCCCCCCCATTCTTGTTTATTAATGTAATTCTAAAAGTCAAAACTATATAGAAAGTTGTATTAAGTATCCCTCTCTCCCTTGCTTTTCCACTTTGCCATCCCCACACCATGGTAGTTAACGTATTTTGTTCATTTGTTTTATTTTCCTGTTTCTTTCTGCAAAATTAAATGATGCATATGTTATTTTCATCTCCTTACATACAAAGTAGCATACTAGGTATACTTTTTTTTTTTTATTCTTATGTTAATCCCCATACGTTACATCATTAGTTCTAGATGAAGTGTTCCATGATTCATTGTTTGTGCATAACACCCAGTGCTCCATGCAGAATGTGCCCTCCTCAATACCCACCACCAGGCTAACCCATCTTCCCACCCCCCTCCCCTCTAGAACCCTCAGTTTGTTTTTCAGAGTCCATCGTCTCTCATGGTTCGTCCACCCCTCCAATTTCCCCTGCTTCATTCTTCCCCTCCCGCTACCTTCTTCTTCTTCTTTTTTTTTTCTTAACATATATTGCATTATTTGTTTCAGAGGTACAGATCTGAGATTCAACAGTCTTGCAAAATTCACAGTGCTTACCAGAGCACATATCCTCCCCAGTGTCTATCACCCAGTCACCCCATCCCTCCCACCCCACCCCCCACTCCAGCAACCCTCAGTTTGTTTCCTGCGATTAAGAATTCCTCATATCAGTGAGATCATATGATACATGTCTTTCTCTGTTTGACTTATTTCACTCAACATAATACCCGCCAGTTCCATCCACGTCGTTGCAAATGGCAAGATCTCATTCCTTTTGATGGCTGCATAATATTCCATTGTATATATATACCACATCTTCTTTATCCATTCATCTGTTGATGGACATCTTGGCTCTTTCCACAGTTTGGCTATTGTGGACATTGCTGCTATAAACATCGGGGTGCACGTACCCCTTCGGATCCCTACTTTTGTATCTTTGGGGTAAATACCCAGTAGTGCAATTGCTGGATCATATGGTAGCTCTATTTTCAACTTTTTGAGGAACCTCCATACAGTTTTCCAGAGTGGCTGCACCAGCTTGCATTCCCACCAACAGTGTAGGAGGGTTCCCCTTTCTCCGCATCCCCGCCAACATCTGTCGTTTCCTGACTTGTTAATTTTAGCCATTCTGACTGGTGGGAGGTGGTATCTCATTGAGGTTTTGATTTGGATTTCCCTGATGCCGAGCGATATTGAGCACTTTTTCATGTGTCTGTTGGCCATTTGGATGTCTTCTTTGGAAAAATGTCTGTTCATGTCTTCTGCCCATTTCTTGATTGGATTCTTTGTTCTTTGGGTGTTGAGTTTGATGAGTTCTTTATAGATTTTGGATACTAGCCCTTTATCTGATATGTCATTTGCAAATATCTTCTCCCATTCTGTCAGTTGTCTTTTGGTTTTGTTGACTGTTTCCTTTGCTGTGCAAAAGCTTTTTATCTTGATGAAGTCCCAATAGTTCATTTTTGCTCTTGCTTCCCTTGCCTTTGGCGATGTTTCTAGGAAGAAGTTGCTTCTGCTGAGGTCAAAGAGGTTGCTGCCTGTGTTCTCCTTTAGGATTTTGATGGACTCCTGTCTCACATTGAGGTCTTTCAACCACTTGGAGTCTATTTTTGTGTGTGGTGTAAGGAAATGGTCCAGTTTCATTCTTCTGCATGTGGCTATCCAATTTTCCCAACACCATTTGTTGAAGAGACTGTCTTTTTTCCATTGGACATTCTTTCCTGCTTTGTCGAAGATTAGTTGACCATAGAGTTGAGGGTCTTTTTTTTTAAAGTAGACTCCACACCCAAAGTATGGCTCAAACTCAAGTTCATACATGCTTGCTGTACCAACTGCGCCAGGCAGACACCCGTATATATGCACTTTTTCACTTTACTTTTCTCTTTTTTTTAAAGAGTGAAGCTTGTTTTATTTATTAAAATATTTATTTGTCAGTGAGCAAGGAGCCAGATGTGGGACTCGATCCCAGGACTTCGGGATCATGACCTGAGCCAAAGGAGATGGTTAAGGACTGAGCCACCCAACCATCCCTGCACTTTACTTTTTTCCATTAACAATATATTTTAGGGGGCACCTGGGTGGCTCAGTTGGTTAAGCGACTGCCTTAGGCTCAGGTCATGATCCTGGAGTCCCAGGATTGAGTCCCACATCGGGCTCCCTGCTCAGTGGGGAGTCTGCTTCTCCCTCTGACCCTTCCCCCTCTCACGTGCGTGCGCGCATGCTCTCTCTCTCTCATTCTCTCTCAAATAAATAAAAATCTTAAAAAAAAACCCAAAAAACAAAAAAAAAACAATATATTTTAGAAATCACAGTTCATAGAGATCTTCCTTTTTTTTGAGATCTTCCTTATTTTTGGCAGCTGCTGAATACCTATTTCTAACTGGTTTATTTAAATTAAGGTCCAAAAAAGATCTTCACATATTGCTTTTGGTTATTATGTCTCTTAATACTCCCCTCCTTATGTATATGCATATCTATATCTATATAATAATATCCAGTTTCTCCCCCTTGCCCCCCTTTAAAAAAGATTTTATTTATTTATTTATTTTAGAGAGAACACATGTGAGTGGGGAGAGGGGCAGAAGGAGAGTGAGAGAAAGAGAGAATCTCAAGCAGGCTCCCCACTGAGTGTGGATCCCAGCTTGGGGCTCTATCTCACAACCCTGAGATCATTGACCAGCGCTGAAATCAAGAGTCAGACGTTTGGGGCGCCTGGGTGGCTTAGTCGGTTAAGTGCCTAACTCTTGATTTCGGCTCAGGTCATGATCCCAGGGTCCTGGGATTGAGCCCTGCATCGGGCTCCCTGCTCAGCGAAAGCCTGCTTCTCCCTCTCCCACTCCTGCTTGTGTTCCCTCTCTCGCTGTGTCTTTCTCTGTCAAATAAATAAATAAAATCTTAAAAAAAAAAAAAAAAGTCAGATGTTTAACTGACTGAGCCACCCAGGTGCCCCTCTCCCCCTTCCCTTTAAAATACCATTTGTTTGTTGAAGAAACTGTATCATTTATCCTATAACATTTTTTACATTCTGAATTTGGTTGATTTTATTCTCCTTTGTGTATTCAATATGTTCCTTTATTTTCTTTACTTCTTGTCAATTGGTGTTTAGAGTCAGATACAGATTAAGGTTCAGTTTTAAATTTTTTATCTTTTTAAGAATATTCCAGTCGTGCCTTTGTGTGTGCCTTTGTGTCTGCCTTTGGCTCAGGTCGTGATCTTGGGGTCCTAGGATTGAGGGGAATTAGTGGGGAGTCTACTTCTCCCTCTCTTTCTACCCCTCCCCACCCACTGCTCATGCACACTCTCTTTCAAATAAAATCTTAAAAAAAAAAAAATTTCATAGATAGTTCTGTGTACTTCCCATCTACATAGCAACATATCAGGAGGAATATAATGTCTTTTTCTCATAGTTAGTAATTTTAAGATTGTAGGTCATGTCAGTACATCTAATAAAGTTCTCCATCTACTTTCACCTAATAGTCTTAGCAACCACTGACACTGTTGACTAGATCTGTTATTTCATTAGGAACTGCAAATGATGCTTTTCTAATGAAATCATTCCTCTTGCATTTGGCTAGCTTTTCTTTAAAAAGATTTAATTAATTAATTAATTAATTAATTAATTAAAGATTTTATTTATTTACTCGACAGAGAGAGAGCACAAGTAGGCAGAACGGCAGGCAGAGGGAGAGGGAGAAGCAGGCTTCCTGCTGAGCTGGGAGCCAGACGTGGGGCTCGATCCTAGGACCCTGGGATCATGACCCAAGCCGAAGGCAGCCGCTTAACTGACTGAGCCACCCAGGCGCCCCTATTTATTTATTTTAGAGAGAGTGTGTGTGCACAAGCGGGGGAGGAGCAGAGAGGGGGAGGAAGAGACTCGAAAGCAGGCTCCCTGGTGAGTGCAGAGCCCCAAATCGGGGCTCCATCCCATGACCCTGAGATCATGACCTAAGCCGAAATCAAGAGTTAGGCGCTTAACCAACTGAGCCACCCAGGCACCCCTGGTTAGCTCTTTTTAAAGAATTTCTTGGGCGCCTGGGTGGCTCAGTTGGTTAAGCAACTGCCTTCGGCTCAGGTCATGATCCTGGAGTCCCAGGATCGAGTCCCGCATCGGGCTCCCTGCTCAGCAGGGAGTCTGCTTCTCCCTCTGACCCTCCCCCGTCTCATGTGCTTTCTCTCTCTCTCAAATAAATAAAGTCTTAAAAAAAAAATAATTTATTTGATTTCTTTTTATTTATAATTTTATTTATATTTAAAGTTTATAAAAATGGTGTGTCAGGAACTCGTCATTTAGATTATTAGGGTTCTAAGCAATTGAAAAACAATGTTACAGTATAAAATATGAGGATGGCTAGCATCTTAATAGGTCCTCTTTGCTATACTTGAATAGTTTTTTTTTTAAGCTTATTTTATAAAAAAATTCAGCTACTTTCTTTTTAAAGATGACATTAATGATACCAAATAAATTCAACTTTTTTGGATTTCATAAACTAGAATTAGGAATATAGAATTTTTTAAAAAGGAAAGAATAAGGCTATGATTGAATATAGACCAATGGCCAAATTACATATGATTTCTCAATTTTTTTTTTTTTAAGATTTTATTTATTTATTTGACAGAGAGAGACACAGTGAGAGAGGGAACACAAGCAGGGGGAGTGGGAAAGGGAGAGAAGCAGGCTTCCCGTGGAGCAGGGAGCCTGATGTGGAACTTGATCCCAGGACCCTGGGATCATGACCGGAGCCGAAGGCAGACGCTTAACGACTGAGCCACCCAGGCGCCCCATGATTTCTCAATTTTAAAAATTAAGAAAATTAATTTGGAACAGTCAGAAACTTATAGGAAAATTACATATATAGTACAAGGAACTATTTTTCATGAATCATTTGAGAGTGAGTGACAAACTGATGTTCTCTTACCTCTGAATATTTTAGTGTGTATTTTCTGCAAACAAGGAAATTACCTACATATGTGGAAGACACCCATCAAAATCAGAAAATTAACATTCATACATTATAACCATATCATCCTTAGTTTCTATTCAAGTTTTTCCAGTTGCCAATATTGTCCTTTATCATGAAAAGATAAAATTTACAATTACTCATTGCAACTCAGTTATCAGGTTTTCCACTTGACCAGTTTCTTGATCTTTTTCCCAACTTCCATAACCTTGAAACTTTTGAAGATTTCAGATCAATTATTTTGTAGGATGTCCCTCAATTTGGGTTTGCCTGATACATCCTTGTGATTAGATTCAGGTTATGTATCTTTAGCTCATGTGTGACAGAGACATTTTTCTCATTTTATGTATTAGGTGACATATGATCTCCAGTTGTCCCATTTCTGATAATTTTCATTTTGATCACTGGATTACATGGAGTCTGCCTGGCTTCTTCATTATAAAGTTACTCTTTTCTTTTTTGCAATTAATGAGTACTTTATAATGTATTTTTATACTTTGAAACAATGTAAATATACCATTTTTAATAAAATGTTCAATTGATTAGTTTACTTATTATATGGATTCATGGTTTCCTTTTTTTAAGGTAAGATATTGAGAATGCATTTAGTATCTCATATCTCATAGTTTTCAATGAGAGAGGTGTGAAAGTCACGGTATAAAAAGAGCATGTGGGATGGGAGATACTGTTGTGGCCATCTTTGGGTAATACAACCTACGGCACTGAGAAAAGCATAGAAACTTTATCGTCAAGATCTTTTCCTAGTTTATTTTTATTTTATTTTTATTTTTATCTTTATAGTCTGAGAAAAAAACTTGTGAAAAAAGCAAATACATTTTGCCTAACTGAGATACAAGATACTAAATGCATTCTCAATATCTTACCTTAAAAGAAGAGTTAAATTGAGCTGATGAAAAAGTAATTTACTTTGTGAAAATTCTAAATTAAGATGCTTAGTAAATCTTATGGGCTATTTATTATTATTATTTTTTTTACAGCATCTGGTAGACTGTTTTTACTTAATTGGTCATTGTTATCTTAATAAGCATGGAGATAAGATTAGAAGTTTTAACATCAACAAGTATCAAGCAGAAAAAGCCCTGGCCACGAGTCTCCTGGTTGGGACAGGTAGGTTTTTCTTTCTTCATACAATACCAGCTGTAATAATGTGTTAAATGTATACTTTGCCTCTAAGCTAGAATGTTCTGTGGTCTTAAACCACCATCTTTAGAAGGATCACGTGCTCACAGAACAGGATTTTTGTGTTTGTTTTTGTTTTTTTATGGGAGCAAGTTAGCTTTTCCAGAAAGTTAAATGGTCTAAAAGAAGTATTTTACTTTGAAAAAATTTTTTTGTCTTATTATGTTTAAGGTTGAGATGGCATATATCAAGGGGAGGTATTTTTTTTAGGATTTTATTTATTAATTTGAGAGAAAGAGAGAGAGAACATGAGCAGGAGGAGGGAAAGGGAGAAGCAAGCAGCCTCCCTGCTGAGCATGGAGCATGATGTGGGGCCCCATCCCAGGATCTCGATATCATGACCTGAGCCAAAGTCTGATGCTTAACTGACTAAGCCACCCAGTTGCCCTCAAAGGGAGTTTTATAATGAAAAATTTTAATTTAAATATAATTAACATAACAATATTATACTAGTTTGAGGTGTATAACATCGTCTACAATTCTGTGCATTACTCAGTGCTCCTCACAATAAGTATAGTTGCCATCTGTCACCAGACAACACTATTACAATGTTACTGAGTATATACCCTGTACTGTACTTTTCATCTATGTAACTTATTTATTTATGACTGGAACTCTATACCTCTTAATCTCCTTCAAGGATTTTGCCCATCTCCCCACTCATCTCCCCTCTGGCATCCTCCAGTTTGTGCTCTCTCTCTCTGACAAATAAATAAACAAAATCTTAAAAAAAAATCCAGTAGTGGAATTAGTGGATCATATGGTATTTCTATTTTTAATTTTTTGAGGAAACTCCATACTGTTTTCCACAGTGGCTGCACCAATTTAAATTCCCACCAACAGTGCACAAGAGTCCTTTTTTCCTTCACATCCTTGCCAAACACTTGTTATTTCTGGTTTGTTTGTTTAAAAGATTTTATTTGTAATTAATCTCTATACCCAACATAGGGCTCAAACTCACAACCTGAGACCAAGAGTCTCATGCTCCACTGACTGAGCCAGCCAGGTGCCCCTTTTGTCTTTTTTTTTTCTTTAAAGATTTTATGTATTTATTAGAGTGAGAACACGAGCAGGGAGGGGGGCAGAGGGAGAGCCAGAGAATCTCAAGCAGATTCCCTGCTGAGCATAGCCCAATGCGGGGCTAGAACTCGATATCATGACCTGAGCCAAAACCAAGAGTCCGATGCTTAACTGAGCCACCCAGGCACCCCTCTGCTTGTCTTTTTGATTCTAGTCACTCTGACAGGTGCTAGGTGATATATCTCAGTGTGGTTTTGATTTGCACTTCCCTGATGATTAGTGATATTGAGCATCTTTTTATGTATCTGTTGGCCATCTGTATGTCTTTTGTAGAAAAATGTCTATTCAGGTCCTCTGCCCATTTTTAATTGGATTATTTGGTTTTTTTTGGTGTATAGTTATATAATTTCTTTGTATACTTTGGATTTTACCCCTTACCAGACATATCATTTGCAAATGTCTTCTCCCATTCAGCAGATTGCCTTTTTGTTTTGTTGATGGTTCCCTCCTGCATGGTGCAAAAGCTTTTTATTTTTGTATAACCAGAAGGGAATATTTAATCTTCTGAACCTTTCCTTACTGGAACAGTCAGTGGAGTGTTTCCTCCCATTGTGATTTTCATGAGTATTCAATAAAAGTGCCCCTTAGAACTTAGAATAAAGGGCGCCTGGGTGGCTCAGTTGGTTAAGCGACTGCCTTCGGCTCGGGTCATGATCCCGGAGTCCCGGGATCGAGTCCCGCATCGGGCTCCCTGCTCAGCAGGGAGTCTGCTTCTCCCTCTGACCTTCCTCCTTCTCATGCTCTCTGTCTCTCATTCTCTCTTTCTCAAATAAATAAATAAAATCCTTAAAAAAAAAAAAAAGAACTTAGAATAAAGATGGGCCAAAATATACCAGCAGTCCAGGAATACCATTCACAATATATGGGATAGATTCCTCACCTTAGGGAAAGTTGGCAAACCTATAAAGTCCTCTTAGAATATGTAATAATTATGAAAATTTAAAAATTTGCTGTTTAGAGTCATTTCCTATGAGAAATTGTATTTTTAACTTCCTCTAGAACAGTGTCTCTTGAACTTTGCAGTGGTTCAGAATCATCTGGTGATGCCCAACCCAGGGCTTGAACTCACAACCCTGAGATCAAGACCTGAGCTGAGATTGAGTCAGATACTTAACCGACTGAGCCACCAGGCACCCCTTTACCTGGTGATATTTTTATTTATTTATTTATTTAAAAGATTTTATTTATTTATTTGAGAGAGAGAGCACATGAGAGGGGGCAGGGTCAGAGCAGGGAGCCTGATGCCTGACTCAATCCAGGGACTCCAGGATCATGACCTGAGCCGAAGGCAGTCGCTTAACCAGCTGAGCCACCCAAGCGCCCTGGTGATGTTTTTAAAACAAGTGTTGGGCCCCACTCCCGGAGTTTCTGATTGAGTAGTTCTGGGTGGAGAGTGTGCATTTCTAACAGGGTCTCAGGTGTTGCTGATAGTGTTGGTTAGGTGGTACTTTGAAAACCACTGCCCTAAAATATATGAAAACAAGGTTCATTCAAAACAGCATGCTTTTTCTAGATAATAAAAAATGATCAGAACCTGGGTTTTATAAATTTCAGAAGCCATATCTGTTTTAATCTAGGTAAATAATTTAAAAACTTGCCCATACTACTGTTCAAATTGATGAAATTAAACAACACATAACTCAGTTTTGGCTAGCAGAATTAGAAGACACTCCTATAATTTTTTTTTTTTTTTAAGATTTTATTTATTTATTTGACAGAGAGAATGAGAGAGAGAGCACATGAGAGGGGGGAGGGTCAGAGGGAGAAGCAGACTCCCTGCCGAGCAGGGAGCCCGATGCGGGACTTGATCCAGGGACTCCAGGATCATGACCTGAGCTGAAGGCAGTCGCTTAACCAACTGAGCCACCCAGGCGCCTTAGAAGACACTCCTATAAAAAGATTTTATTTATTTGACAGAGAGAGACAAAGCGAGAGAAGGAACACAAGCAGGGGCAGTGGGAGAGGGAGAAGCAGGCTTCCCGCGGAGCAGGGAGCCTGATGCGGGGCTCGATCCCAGGACCCTGGGATCATGACTTGAGCCAAAGGCAGAGATTAATGACCGAGCCATCCAGGTGCCCCAACACTCCTATAATTTTAAAGGTCAAAAAGATCTAGATGCAACCATTAGATTATTCTACCTAGTAATTCTATTAAGAAGTATTTTAAGATAGAATGAAAAAAATCTCCAGGTTACCTAATCAACCTTATTGTTCATTTTATTATTTGTGGTACAAGTATATAATCTTTCTTGAATGTCACTTTATTTTCCTTTCTGGGATTATTTAGCTTAGAGGTTGAATTAACTTCTGTAACCTCTTAAGTCTCACATGTTTCTTCTCTTAGGAAAATGAAGCTGTTTTTCTTTTGGATGATAAATTCATAAATGAAATTAATTTGCTGTCAGGAAGAACAAAGAAGAAAATTCCTTGTCTGCAACCTTTACTGAAGGATGTTATTGTCCTAACAACATCCAGTAATGGTTAAGTAGTACTGATATTTTCAAAAGGCTAGATTAATTGTGTTTGTTCATAATTTGGGGTAATATCAAGGGAAATATTAGATTATAAGTATTGTATTTCCTTTTTGGAAACAGATGCCTGGCTGGCTGGGGTACTCACTACAGGGGAGCTTTTTCTTTGGAACAAAGATCAAGATTGCTTGAAAACTATACAGACAACTGAAGAGCCTAAGAAAATGATTCAAGTTGCAGTAGGTAGGAGTTTTTTATTTACTTAAATTGGTTTCCTTGGTAAATAGAAGGAAAAGAAGATGAAACATTTTCCTATTCCTATTTTAAAAACACATCTCTGTATGTGTGCATATATATATCTGTATAGATAGAGAATATATACATATATATGTTTTCTTATATATGTATGAATTTTTTTGGTGGTGTTCATTTGTGATACTTAGATTCATCTTGAAGAAAAGTCTGGCCTATCATATCTGATAACAATGGGTTCCTAATATCACGTAACAAATACATGATAAATGTTACTATTATTTGTATTTTTAATTTATTAGTTGTGCCTTAGTTTTATCCTGAGTGGACGCATCATTTAGGTTTCTTATTGTCAGAATAGATAAATTATGTACTTTCTGGGAAGAATTCAGACTTCAGAAGTTTAATTAACTTTTTTTTTTTTTTTTAAGCAAGCTCCTTGAGACTGTACTTGTATGTATCTGGAAATGGGAAAAGAGTTCTGCTTATAACTCCTTCTGGATGCATATTTCTTTGGGAATATTTGGAATTCAAGAATATCTTCTCTTCTAAAAGCCCTTCATTGGTAGGCCAGTGGTCCCAGATCATACCTGAAGAAGCAGTTCATTTGCCTTCTAATGAAGATAAAGAAGCTGTAGTGCATGCTGTTTTTATAAAAAATGAGGTAAAATCCAGATCAGACAGGGTGTTATAGAAGTTGAGATCTCAGACTCTAAGAACAGACACTATTTGTGAAGCTATTGAGCAGAGTATGTAAAGCACTGTTCTGTATCTTTAGTCATCATTAATTGTCACAGTAAATATGAAATTATTGTGGAAAAAATATTTTTACATTTCTTGGTCATATTTTTTAAAATGCTTATTAAAAATGGTTTGAGGGGCGCCTCGGTGGCTCAGATGGTTAAGCGGCTGCCTTCGGCCCAGGTCATGATCCCAGGGTACTGGGATCAAGCCCCACATCAGGCTCCTTGCTCAGCGGGGAGCTTGCTTCTCCCTCTCCCTTTCTCCCTGCTCATGTTCTCTCTCTGTCTCTCTCTCTCTCTCCCTGTGTCTCTTTGTCTCAAATGAATAAATAAAATCTTTAAAAAATAAATAAATAAATAAATAAATAAAAATGGTTTGAACTCCACCAAAAAAACTACTAGAACCGACAAATGAATTCAGTAAAGTCATAGGATACGAGATGAATATATAGAAATCTCTTGCATTTCTCTACACTAGTAATGATGTAGCAGAAAGAGAAATTAGGAGAACAATTTCATTTATAATTGCACCAAAAAGAATAAAATACCTAGGAATAAACTTAACCAAGGAGGTGAAAGATCTGTGCTCCAAAAACTATAAAACACTGATTAAAGAAATTGAAGATAACACAAACAAATGGAAAGATATTCCATGCTCATGATTGGAAGAATGAGTATTGTTAAAATGTCCATACTACCCAAAGTAGTCTACAGATTTAATGCAATCCCTATCAAAATACCAACATTTTTCAAAGAGAACAAATAACCCCACAATTTGTATAGAACCACAAAAGGCAGCCAAAGTGATCTTGGAAAAGAAGAACAAAGCTGTAGGTAATCAAAACAGTATGGTACTGGCACAAAAATAGACACATAGCTCAAGGAACAGAATAGAGAATCCAGAAATAAACCCATGTATACATGGTCAATTAGTTTATGAGGAAGGAGGCAAGAATATATAGTGGGGAAAAGACAGTCTCTTCAACAAATGGTGTTGAGAAAACTGGACCATTTTCTTACACCACAAAAAAATAAACTCAAAATGGATTAAAGACCTAAATGTGAGACCTGAAACGATAAAATTCCTAGAAGAAAGCGTAGGCAGTAATTTCTTTGACAACAGCTTTAGAAACATTTTCCTAGATACATCTCCTCTGGCAAAGGAAACAAAAGCAGAGTTAAACTATTGGGAGTACACAAAAATAAAAAGCTTTTGCACAGGGAAGGAGGAAGCCATCAACAAAACAAAAAGATAACTTGTTGAACTGGAGAAGATATTTGCAAATATTTCTGTTGAGTTAATATCCAAAGTATACAAAGAACTTACACAACTCAACACCAAAAACTCACAAATAATCCAATTAAAAAATGGGCAGAGGACTTGAATAGACATTTCTCTACAGAAGACATACAGATGGCCTCAGTTACATGAAAAGATGCTCAACATCACTAATCATCAGGGAAGTGCAAACCAAAACTACACTGAGATACATCACCTAACACCTGTCAGAATGACTAGTCTCAAAAGGCAAGAAATAACACGTGTTTGACAAGGATGTGGAGAAAAGAACCCTTGTGCACTGTTGGGAATATAAATTGGTGCAGCCACTGTGGAAAACAGTATGGAGTTTCCTCAAAAAACTAAAAATAGAAATACCATATGATCCACTAATTCCACAACTGGATATTTACCCAAAGAAAACAAAAACACTAATTCGAAAAGACATATGCACCTCTATGTTTATTGCAGCATTATTTACAGTAGCCAAACTATGGAAGCAACCCAGTGTCCATCAACAGGTGAATGGATAAAGAAGATGTGGTATATATATAAAATGGAATATTACTCAGTGATAAAAAAAGAATGAGATCTTGCCATTTGTGATGACATAGATGGACGTAGAGGGACGCCAAGTGAAATAAGTCAGTCAGAGGACAAATACCCATGACTTCACTTACATGTTGAATCTAAAAATCAAAATGAACCACTACCACCACCACCACCAAAATAAAGATTCTTTTTTTTTTTTTTTAAGATTTTATTTATTTGACAGAGAGAGGCACAGCGAGAGAGGGAACACAAGCAGGGGGAGTGGGAGAGGGAGAAGCAGGCTTCCCGCTGAGCAGGGAGCCCGATGTGGGGCTCGATCCCAGGACCCTGTGATCATGACCTGAGCTGAAGGCAGACGCTTAACAACTGAGCCGCCCAGGCGCCCCACAAAATAAACAGATTCTTAAATACAGAGAACAAACTAGTGGTTACCAGAGGAGAGGTGGGTGAGAGGTGGGTGAGGGATGGGTGAAATAGGTAAAGGGTATTAAGAGCACAGTTGTCTTGATGAACACTGAGAAATGTGTGGAATTGTTGAATCATTATATTGTGGCTAATATAATACTGTTAATTATACTTAAATAAAAAAATGGTTTAAGTTAGAGCTTCCTTTTTCTTTCCCTAGTTTCACTTTTCCCTAGTTTTAAGTTTTTATTTACTTTTATTTTTTTTTTTGAGTATAGTTGACACAGTGTTACATTAGTTACAGGTATACAACATGGCGATTCAACAACTCTTTATGTTATGCTGTGCTTACCACAAGTATGGTCACCATCTGTCACTATGCAAAACTATTACAGTACCATTGATTATATACTGTATGCTCTACCTTTTATTCCCATGACTTGTTACATAACTAGAAACCTGTACCTACCACTCCTCTTCACCCATTTTGCCCATCCCCCACCCCTCTGGCAACCAGCAGTTTGTTCCCTAGGACTGATTCTGTACTTTTCCTTAGTTTCAAAATATAACTAGTTTAATAATTGAAAAAGCTAGAATTGGTGATACTAAGTAAGATATTTAATTTCCAAGAAAGAACCTATTCATTAGCTAAAAAAACATAAATAACTGCATGCATTCTTTGTACGTGTGGACCAACATTTCATTACCCAATCCACTATTGTTAGAAATCGCGTTATGAAATTTTATTTTCCTCTACCTTCCTCCACCTCTAGGTAGTGCCCTAATTTAAATAATATATAACTATTAAATAAGAGAAAAATACATAAGAATATATAAGAATCTTTCCAGTAATAGTCACAGTAAATAGCATTGTTTTCTTGGGGCATGCCTCTGGCTCAGAAATAAATTACTTATTCTTTTTTTTAACTGTTCTTGAGCCTAACGTTAAGAATAAAAATACAAGCAGAATTTCCATATTTTATTTATGATAAGAAATACATGTTCTAGGGGCGCCTGGGTGGCTCAGTTGGTTAAGCGACTGCCTTCGGCTCAGGTCATGATCCTGGAGTCCCGGGATCGAGTCCCGCATCAGGCTCCCTGCTCAGCAAGGAGCCTGCTTCTCCCTCTAACCCTACCCCCTCATGTACTCTCTCTCTCTCATTCTCGCTCTCTCAAATAAATAAATAAATCTTTAAAAAAAAAAAAAAAGAAATACATGTTCTATATATCTTGATTTATTTTCAGATGAATTATATACTAAAGTTTATTAAATTTATCTACAGTTATTTGGAGATTGCTGCTTGTGTTCGTTTACTTTTTATTCTGGAGAACGTCTGAAGTTGACATTTCTAGCAATTCGGTGGCATGAAAATGTATTTACACCTATAAGGTAAGGTGAAGATTTCCTTCTTCCTTATTTTTTATCCCTTTTACAGCAATATTTTTACTCCCATAAAAACATAATAAGATTAGTTAAATGAAATGTGAATTTGAACTTAAGAGATTTTACAAAGCTGTTCTTCCCATAAATACTTTATTTTGTTTTCATTTTAAATGTTTAGGTTTTTCTTGTTTTTGTTTTGTTTCCTTTCTTGGAAATGAGAACATGTAAAAGGTAAGAAAGGTTGTGGTATAGAGATAGCTATTTCGAAAAATAATTCAATTGAATTTTAAAAGGGACATAATTTGAATTTACTACTGTACCTTTTAAATGCTCAAGTACTTTTTATTTCTTTTTTTTAAAGATTTTATTTATTTGAGAGAGAGAGAATGAGAGAGACAGAGAGCACATGAGACGGGGGAGGGTCAGAGGGAGAAGCAGGCTCCCTGCCGAGCAGGGAGCCCGATGCAGGACTCGATCCTGGGACTCCAGGATCATGACCTGAGCCGAAGGCAGTCGCTTAACCGACTGAGCCACCCAGGCACCCACTCAAGTACTTTTTAAATTAAAAAATAGTTTTATTGGGGCACCTAGGTGGCTCAGTCAATTAAGTGTCTGCCTTCGGCTCAGGTCATGATCCCAGGGTCCTAGGATCGAGCCCCACATCGGGCTCCCTGCTCAGTGGGGAGTCTGCTTCTCCCTCTGCCTGCAGCTCCCCCTGCTTGTGTGTTCTCTCTCTCTCTCAAATAAATAAATCTTTTAAAAAATTTAAAAAATAGTTTTATTTAGGGGTACCTGGCTGCCTCAGTCAGAAGAGCATGCCATTCTTGATCTTGGGGTTGTGAGTTTGAGCCCACGTTGGGGGTAGGGATTACTTAAATAAAATAAATAAATAAAAATAAAATAAACAGTTTTGTTTATTCTAAAAAAACCCAATAATATACAGAGTGCATTAAAAGCATAAAATGCCTGAGTAGGATTTAGTAAAATAGTGTGATTTTTTTTGGCCTATTTTCTTCATTTTCATATGCTAACAGTACTTTATTAAAATATAATTTATAGAAAGTAAAATGAAAAAATCTTAAGTGTATAATGAGGTGGATTTTGATAAATATATGTATGTGTAACCATGCTCATATCAAATATAGAATATTGCCACTATTTTATTTTATTTTTATTTTATTTTATTTTTAATTTTTTTGTATCGAAGCTTCATGCCCAGCATGGAGCCCAATGTGTGGCTTGAACTTAAAACCCAAGAGTCGCAGGGTCTACCACCTGAGCCAGACAGGCACCCCAGAACATTGCCACTATTTTAAAAATCCTTTCTTTTCTACCTATTTAATTTCTGTAAAAATGTTTATAATAATGTAGAAATATGTGTCACCTGAACCTTTCGTCAAAGCAGATGTATTTGGGGTTGACATGGAATATGCCATTACTAACAAAATGCTGATATTGAACTTGTTTAACTGGCAACTGCTCTTTTGTGCCTTGGATGAAACTTCTGAACAGTTGCTACAAGGCCCCCTAATATTTGTGCATATATAGGAATTTAGTTGGACTCTTAAGTTTTTTGTGATGAACTAAATATTAATTTAAAAGTTACCGTATTTCCTATTTTCAATTATTTCATTACTTTCTTAGATCATTGCCATACCATGTTCATTGGGCACAACAAAACTGCCTTCTGTGCAGTCTGGTTCCTAAATGTGCATCAGTAAAGTCAAGAGGAGCTCTACTTTCTGCCTTTTCAAGAGATGGTGTTACCCTGGCAGTAACTCTTAATCAGAAAGACCCAAAGGTCAGTAAATGTAATCTGTTTTGGAAGTAACCTATAAAAGAGTTTAGTCCAGTTTGGAGTTCCTTGTTTTTTAATAACTATTTTATGTTTTTTAAATTGGTGTTTTCTGATCCAATTTAACATTGTAGATTGGTAAAGTTATTTAAACTAGCTGCTGTAATTTCAAAACTTGACCTTCAGAAGTGAAAAGAGGGTAGCAAAAAGGAACAAAAAAGGGCAAAGTGGTAACTGATGGCCTTAAAATATAGTATAAAAGGGCATGGAGTTTTAGTTTTCAGTATTGTTTTGCCAGTTGGGAAAGACTTCCAGGATAGTTTATTGATATCATAATAGTCTCTAGGTCTCTAGAATTAAAAGTAATGATTAAAATAAAATAATTTAATGGTTTTGTTGTCTTTTTTTTTCTTTTTAGGCAACTCAGGTATTGTTTATAAACACACTGAATTTTGTTACTCTCTGTGGTAGCCTGAGAGGATGTAGTAATAAGAATCCTGTGGTCCCAGCTACACTTATCAGGTAAGAACACTTACGTTTCTACATATTGTTTTTATTTTCCAATAGTTTAATAAGTTTCAGGCTCTGATAATTCAAAAGGTATCTAAATAAGTATTTAGATAGGTAATGCAATTTCCTTTCAGCATTTGTGCTTGATAGATTCTAAAATTGCTTTATGTAAGGAAAATCCTACTTTAAGAAAGGGTCTTGGTAGGGTGGAGGATACATGAACATATTTTCTTTTCTCTTTTATATTTTCCTGTATTGTCTCAGGAGGAGTGGGGTTACAACTGGGTAGGGAACTATTGAGCTTAATTAGAGACCAAAATGAAAATAACCTGGATTGGGAAAACCATTATGTACTCAGGGAGGCTGAGGTGTTAGCTTTTTAAACAAAGTTGGCATGCTCTGCATGTAGGTTAATAGCAACACAAGTCAACATAAGTCATGATTTTGGATGGCACGTGAGCCACTACCAGATTTCCTCTTGGACTTCTTTTTTTTTTTTAAAGATTTTACTTATTTATTTGACAGAGAGAGACCCACAGAGAGAGAGGGAACACAAGCAGGGGGAGTGGGGGAGGGAGAAGCAGGCTTCCCGCGGAGCAGAGAGCCCGATGTGGGGCTCGATCCCAGGACCCTGGGATCATGACCTGAGCCGAAGGCAGATGCTTAACGACTGAGCCACCCAGGCGCCCCCCTCTTGGACTTCTTAATTTCATTTTCTGAACACTTTTCTGTGCTGTTCTCTGAATTTCCAAAGTTTTCAGGTCTATCTGGCCTTGCCTCTTCATTTTCTTTCCCTCTCCAAAAGTTCCTTTCTAAAGGTATTACTCATTCTTACACCTGAAATTTTTTTTAAAGATTTTATTTATTTGACAGAGAGAGAGAGACAGTGAGAGAGGGAACACAAGCAGAGGGAGTGGGAGAGGGAGAAGCAGGCTTCCCGCTGAGCAAGGAGCCCAATGCAGGACTCGATCCCAGGACCCTGGGATCATGACCTGAGCCGAAGGCAGATGGTTAACCACTGAGCCACCCAGGTGCCCCTTACACCTGGATTTAATACAACATCATGTCTCAACTATACTTCAATAAAATAAATAAAAAAAAATATTATTGGTCTCAGTGCGGTGGTCTGCTTGACTTAGAGTGTCTGTCATAATTTACATGAGGAGCTACTTTTTGTCTCCATGAAAGATTAATATTACCAGATAGTTCAGGAGTAGTAAGGATGGCTTTGGGAGGAGGAAGTCTGCTGCTGCATGGAACTCTGGCAAACTGCAGAGACGACAGGCAGGGTATTGACCTTTAAATCTATCAGTGGATTTTAGTTGTAGACACCAATATGATTAAAGTTGTTCTAATTAAAATGTGAGTGACTGAAAAGCTTAACTCTTTTAGGGAGTATTTTCATCTTATTTGCTTATGTGTCTGTGAATTTCTAATTGCTATGTTGTATGGAGTACATATTTATGAGCAGACATCTTTGTTTCTTACCTTTTTCTGGGAAGTAAAATACACAAAAATGTATGTGGCAGTTGCCTACTATTCATTCTTTTTCCCTTATTTTTGAAATGTTTCACCCTTGCTTGGCCATTTTAAATTGTGAAAGACATTGTAGAGAGTCCTTTCTAAACATACTGTCTTGCTTTTTCTAGGTCCTACTGGGTAGGTGATATCAGCTGGACTCATGATAGTCTTTTTCTGGCTTGTATGTTAAAACGTGGCTCCCTGGTTTTATTGACCTGTCAAGGTGAATTGGTAACATTAATTACATTTGGCTGCTCCATAGAATTTGGGCCAGCAGAATTTATTCCTTTTCACCCACTAATAACATATAGGTGAGACATTTGAATTGTTTTAATTTGTTTACAGGTTTTCTTCTTTGGTATTACTTTACTATGTATTTTTAAAAATAATTTTGTCTTTCAAATTGTCTCATTCTTTCTTTGAGTCTGTCATCTCAATATCTGTTTCTTATATATAGTTTTCTTCTATTTCTTTTTGTTGCTTAATCCTGGTGAAAATTTGACATTGTGACTATGTAAGTATAAGTTATTTAAATATTCAATAACACAAACATATATCTTCTTTTATGTAAAAGTTCAAAAAGTATGCTATGTCTTTTATTGTTTTAAAAGAAGATCACTTACATAAATTAGTAACTCAAACTTAACTTGGCACATGGATTTATCTTTTTTTCCCCCCAAAGGGAAAAAAGGAAAAAGTTGTGGGAAATGGATAGAAGACTTCAGAATTTAGCCATATTTTAATTTTTTTTTTAATGTTTTTTTTTTTTTTAAAGATTTTATTTATTTATTTGACAGAGCGAGAGAGGGAACACAAGCAGGGGGAGTGGGAGAGGGAGAAGCAGGCTTCCCGCGGAGCAGGGAGCCCGATGCGGGGCTCGATCCCAGGACCCTGGGATCATGACCTGAGCCGAAGGCAGACACTTAACGACTGAGCCACCCAGGCGCCCCTAGCCATATTTTAATTTTTAATTGTGGGTTGGGGTAGCAGTTTGGCTTTGGAGTCAGATTAAAATTCAGATCTTGGTTCTTCTACTTATTAGTTGTGTGGCTTTGGGTAAGTTATACTTTAAGCCTCTGTTTCTTTTACTGTGAAATGAAGATGACTCTGTCTCTTAGGGTTGAGGGAATGAAGTGAAATAATAAATAGTAACAAACTGCTTAGCACACTTCTGACGTAAAGTAAGTGCTCAGTAAATATTTGTTGTTATTGATGCTGATATTAGATACGACCTGACATATATACACAGGTATTTACAATACAAAAATACTGGAAAAGTCCTTTGAAATTAATCCTTTGCCATTGCCTCACAGAAAGGAAATTGAGGAGGGGTGTGTCCTTGATTATATTTAGCAAAAAAGGATGCTTAATTTTTAGTATTAGAAAATCCTAATTGAGAAATTTGTCACTTCCTGTAGTGAAAGTATTTTTTCCTTATTTTTTATGGCCTAATTCATAATTGACTTGAATTTCCTCATAGTCTTTAAAATTAATTTAGGACCTTTTAAAATGGATTAATTTTGGGGCACCTGGGTGGCTCAGCTGTCTGCCTTTGGCTCAGGTCATGATCCCAGGGTCCTGGGATCAAATCCCACATCGGGCTCCCTGCTCGGCAGGAAGCCTGCTTCTCCCTCTCCCCCCTGCTTGTGTTCCCTCTCTCGCTATGTCTCTCTCTGTCAAATAAATAAGATCTTAAAAAAATAAAAAAAAATAAAAAAAATTAAATGGATTACTTTTTCTGATTACAAAAGTAATACATATTTATTATTTAAAAAAAACTATAAAATCAAGTTCTGTAAAAATAAATAGTATAGAAAATGAAACACTCTTGTAATCCTATTCCTCCCAAATAACAATTAACATTTTAGTGTGTTGTCCTCCAAATTAAAAAAAATATGTATGGTATTTATAATAATAACAATATTAGTTTCTTTTTTAAAACAAAAAGTTCTATGATATATGCTGTTTACTATTTTGCTTTTTTGATTAATCTGTTTATATTATACATATTTCCATGAAGTAATTTTTTAATGTTCTATAGATTCCTTGTGGTATGTACATTCTATAGTTAACCAGTCTCCTGTTGTTGACCATTTGGTGTAATTTCCTAACCAGAAAGCGATTATATTTTTGATTATTTGTTCTCTTTATAAAGCCCCAAAGTTAATAAGCAGTGATATTAAGTAATCATAATCAGGTATACCACCATAACAGTAAATATGTACATTTATGTGGAAGCTCAGTCAAATTTAATCTTAAACTGATAAAATTTTCCTCACTACCATCTTTTCCAAATGTCTTTCTCAGTTTTCTTTCTTTCTCCTCCTCCTTTTTTTTTTTTTTTAAGAGGAAGGAGCAGAGGGAGAGGGAAAGAGAATCTTAAGTAGGCTCCATGCCCAGTGCGGAGCCCGACTCAGGGCTCAATTCCCACAACCCTGAGATCATGACCTGAGCTGAAACCAAGAGTTGGACACTCAACTGAGCCACCCAGGCACCCCTTCTTTCTCCTCAATAACAAGTATATTCATAGCTCATAATTATATTCTTATAAGTGTATTTAAATATATGTTAGGAAGGAAGGTTAACTATTTAACTCTTTAATAGTGAAAATGAACTGCCTTAATTCTTCTCTGAAATAGTTTGTATAAAACTAATTTAAAAACAAAATAGAGTAAATGCCACAATTCAGGGAATATTTAAAAAACATATAAACCTACATATTATTTAATCATTTATGTTTTTCTTACAGATAATACAATTTAATGTTAGTATGTTTAACTGGACTTTTTTTATCATTCTGTAGCTTTTAATTGTTTTTGTCTTTGGAATAATATGATTGTTTCCTTTAAGATTTTTCTCTTACTAATTGTTTAATTTTGTGTTTGTTTGCTAGACCTCAGCAGTTTACATTTCAAGATTCAAATAATTCTGTAGATTCATCAGCTTCTGATAGTGACCCTATGAGACAGAGATTTTCTATAAAAGCACACTCACGGTTACCCTACCTCATTATTTCTGATGGATACATGGTCACAACCCTTCGATTTGTTGATAACCTGTCTCCATCAGTGCTCATGAGATCACTTCTACTTGATTCAACCCAGAGGCTTGAGAAGACATACCAAAGTATGATATTGTCTAAGGTAATAGTGCTTTTTGGTATCATTGGTAAAAGTTGGCTTCTTAGTTTTCTCAGGTTTAAAACCATACTGACGGTAATATCCTTGGATTATATACAGTTGTCTATAGAATTTTTAACTGTTGTGATAGAATTACAGATAAAATTTTACTCTTGGAAATCTTTTATCTTCAACAGCCAAAAGGCAAAGGGCTGAACTTGCGATCACTGGATTCCCTGAGATGTAGCCTGTTAAAACACCAAGGAAATAAAAGTTTAGCTGATTCTACTGTCCCCAGATTCTTACAGGCAGAAGAAACAATGAAGTTAAATGAAAAAACAACAGATTTCCAGGTACTTAGTAGCAGTGTTTTTTGTTTATTTGAACAGTTAACATATTGACTTTATTCCAAGAAACATATTTTGTTTTTTTCTTGTTAAGGGGGAGAAGTTTGAGAACACCAGTGATTTTACTTAATAAGGTATTAAATAACATTAAGTATAATTCTTTTCACTCATGTTTTAGGATTTTGAAGCAGAAGAAACTAAAGAAGGCAAACACTTTCCAGACAACTTATTCTCACTTTGGAACCAAAAAAATGATCCATTGTTCAGTAGTGTCAAGGAGGGAAGATTGGAATTTGCGTCTATGTTTGATACAATACATGCAAAGGATAATATCAAGGAGACAGATAAAACCGTTACAGAGCTGCATTCTGTTCAGAAAAATCTACTTGCAGCATGGGCTATCGGAATTTCAAAAAATGTGACAGAAAAAAATGTAATGTTAAATTACACAGTTGTTTGTATCACTCATTTTTTCTACATTCTTCAATTTATAAAATGTCCTTTCCCCAAACTAGATCCTTTTTTAAGCAAGAGCACAAGACAGAATGCATGGGTACTTTGTATCTTTCAACTTTTTCATCAGTGTTTATCAATGCAATATTGGGATATGAGATACAAACAAGATGTGGGACATTTGGTAAAGCTGACCTCAAATACTATAAAGCTTTTGCTGACTCAGCAACAACAGGGTCAGTTATTTTCAGAGAAGCTTTTGGCTTGTTTTCATTTACTTAAAATGGTAGCTGATAATTTAAATGGCATATACATTCTTCAGCCTGAAGTTATTTCAGCATCTGTTGATGGAAGTAGAACAGCAGATCAAGACAAATTGGTGGTACCCATTTTTCAAATGTTTCAATATAGTGATTCTCAGGAAAACTGGTCTTGGGACTCATCTTTCAAGATTCGTCCTCAAGTAGTAAATCTTGCTCAGCGACCAGGACGCAGGTATATTTACTTTATATCAGGATACCATCAACATTATAGATGTTTTCCTTTTTGAAAAATTGAGATAATAATTCCCATACTGTAAAATTCACCATTTTAAAGTATGAAATTCAGTGATTTTTAACATAGTCACAAGGATGTAGAATTATTAGCATATTTCCAGAATGCTTTTTTTTTTTTTTAAGATTTTATTCATTTATTTGAGGGGGAGGAAAGGGGAAAGAATCCCAAGCAGACTCCTCGCTGAGCCTGATGCAGGGCTTGATCCTGTGACCCAGAGGCCATGACCTGAGCAGAAACCAAAAGTTGGGTATCCAACTGACTGAGCCACTCAGCCGCCCCTCCAGAATATTTTTATAATCCCAAAAAGAAACCCTGTATCCATTACCAGTCAGCATTAATAGATTTTTATATTAATTTTTTAAATATTTTAGGATTTATGCCAAATTTTATTCAACACACATATTTTATTAGCCTTGGGCAGCCATGATACATGCTGAAGTATTGAATGATTTTGGTTTAGGTGAGCACTACAGAAAAATAACCATGAAGATTTAAAAAATGTATTATACGTTTTTTGATCAGTGGACTTTGCTATATTTAAATCTGATCAGTTTGTATATATATTATTTTATCAATGAAGAATACAGGCAAAAATAATAAGGCTGAGTAGAAGGCTGTACTCATTTTTATTCCTAGTCTGAAATTTGGCTTTGATGATCACTTAATTTTGTGTGCAGATTGATTGTTCTCTGGAGAGTGTTGTACAAAAACACCGTATGGTATCAAACACAATTAAGTCAAAGACTTCCTGAAGGTGACCGACAGTTAACTGAAAAGATGACACGGGAAGCATCTACTGTCAAGGCTCTGTTATGTCATATACAGGCTAACCTACAGACTGCTGGAGTTCACTTGAACCAAGCCTTAGAACTTCAATCTATCCATGGTCAGTAGTTTATAAACATTTTCTAGCTGTGAATGAGCAATATAGTTAACTGGGCTTTGATTTTGTTAATCGGTTGCAATTATTTGTTTTTCAAAATAGTTTCTGGCTGAGCTGTATCCACTAAATTTTAAAATGAAGTAAATTTTTATAAAGTAATATTAACCATGATTGATTGTTGGTTAAAAACTTTGTAGGTGAAGAGTGTTTCCTGTTAGGATCATATGAAAAATCTGTTCAACTGTGGAGGAAAGCTCTGCAAGAAACTCAAGAGAAAGGTAGGAGAGTGTTAAAAAATAATATTTGCCATAATATTGGTAGGAATGTATTTTGGCATGCTGTAGAACTTAAAAATAATTCCAGATTTCTGGGTGCTCACAATTTCTTAATGCTCAAATAGAATACACAATGGTAGGCACCTTGACTATCAGAAATACTTATTTAAAATTATTTTTACTCTTGGAATTTGTAGCACTAAGAATTTTTTCCGTTATCTATAGATAAGGCTCCGTCTGTCCTTTTTTTTGGTTGGTGATGGGAGCTGTGACTGATTATGGATGGGGAAAAAATGAGATTTATATCCTAAGTAAAATAATGTTTTCTTTTGTTTGCCATTTACCACCTTTTTACAGACTTAGAGAAACGTGGAGCTAAGGCTCTCTGCCATTAAGTAATTCGACTTTAAGAATTTCCTGTGAGTTAGACTGATTGTTGGATTAAGTATGGGCTTCATGGAATTTTTGATGAGACTAGAGGAATGTAGATTCTAGAAACTGATGATAGCTTTTATGGTATTGAGGGTTTGGCTAGGATGACAAGTTCTCAGCTAGCAACCTTGGAGCTAGCTATGACTATAACTACTACATGGTCAGGTTTGGCCAATTATTAAGCTTATTTTCTGACTGCTTTGCATATTTCATTCATTCCCCTATTTTAACCAGTATTTATCAAGGTCCTGCTATGTCCCTAGTACTATATTAGGCACTAGGAATAACTGAAATAAATAACTTTACCCACAAGTTGCCCACGATGTAGAGAAGAGATTACGTAAAAAACTAGTACTTTTTCATTATGTTGTTTGGTAGATGCTGGGGAAGCACAGAAGAGCACTTTGCGCAATCTGAGGCTGGAGTGTAAGCATTAGTCTGGGGAAAACCTGGAGGAGTTGACACTTAAAATTGAATATAAATTAGCGAGCTAAAATTGTGGTAATGGTTTAACAAAGGAGGTAGCATTAGAAAAGCAAAAAGGTGTGAGAAACCATGGCAACTTGGTAAATTGGAAGTTGTTTAATAGGATTAGATTATATGATATATGTATGCAGTATTAGGGGCAGGGTGTGAGAGCTAAGTTGAGAGGTATGTAGGGAATAGATGATAAGGAACATACTGTATGCATTGCAAAGGGATTAAGATTTTATCCCGACGAGATTGGGATCAGTTAGATACTTTATGTAGGAAAGAGAACTTTTCAAATGAATATAGGCCATTTGGAAAGATTCTTTTGGTACAGTGTGGAGGGTCATTTGTAGGAATGTGATGTAGATATGTGGGTTTCACATGGAAGCAGGAAAATTAGTCTGTTGAGTAGGTTCTGAAAGCAATGTCAAGAGTACTGGAGAGCAGAGGTTAGACTCGACAGACAATAGTTTTGATCAGTTGGAATTGTGACTGAGTAGATCTGGAGAAAGAAGTCTAATGTAGTTCTCACATTTGGGGATTATTCAACTGGATGAAGAAGTGTGGCATTCAAGGAGATGAGACGTTCTGATGGAGAAAAGTTTTCATAATGAATTCCATTATGGGGTGCCTGGGTGGCTCAGTTGATTGAGAGACTGCCTTTGGCTCAGGTCATGATCCCAGGGTCCTGGGATTGAGTCCCACATCAGCGGGGAGCCCGCTTCTCCCTCTTCCTCTGCCTGCCACTCTCCTTGCTTGTGCTCTTTCTCTCTCTCTGTCAAATAAATAAAATCTTTAAAAAAATGAATTCCATTATGGACCTTTACATTTCATTTCCAACTGTATCCACTAGGAATGGCTTCTAATAATGGAGACTGAAAGTAATAATGGTTTCAACAAGAAAGAAGTTTATTTCTCTTTCTTACAAGAAGAGACCAGAAGTTGACAATCTGGGGCTGATTTGGTGTTTCCGTGGTCTAATTAAGGACCCATGTCCTTTAGTTTTTCTACTCAGTCGTCCTTAGTGCACTGCTTCCAGTCTTAAGGCCATTACATGAGATAAAACGGGTACTGGAACTCCAACCGTTGCATCCATATTCTAGACAGGAGAAAGGAAGGGAACAGGAAGGGCAAGAAAGGGTGCACCTTCTACCTGAGTTACCTCCCTTTGAGCAGCTTTTCTGGAAGTTCTTTTTTTTTTTTTTAAAGATTTTATTTATTTATTTGACAGAGAGAGACACAGCGAGAGAGGGAACACAAGCAGGGGGAGTGGCAGAGGGAGAAACAGGCTTCTCGCCGAGCAGGGAGCCCGATGTGGGGCTCGATCCCAAGACCCTGGGATCATGACCTGAGCGGAAGGCAGACGCTTAATGACTGAGCCACCCAGGCGCCCCGAGCAGCTTTTCTGGAAGTTCTACGTAGTGTTATCTCTTGGTCCAGAACTCAGTCTTTTTTTCATGTGGCCATATCTAAGTGAGAAATTGTGATCTGGGTGCATTATTTATTTTTTTAAAGATTTTTTTTTTTTATTTTTAAGTAATCTCTACAACCAACGTGGGGCTTGAACCTACAACCCCGAGATTAAGAGTCTCATGTTCCACTGACTGAGCCAGCCAGGCGCCCCTGGGTGCATTGTTAACCCCAAATAAAATTGGAATTCTTTTATTCAGGAAGAATGGATAAGGTATCAGTTCTAAACACCCATCAGATACTTGGATGCAGTGGTCAGGGGCTCCTATCTCATTGGATAGTGCTTCTCCTTTGGGAAGTCTCTTTGACTAACTGATAAATGTATGGTTTCTTGGGGTTTTCTTTTTTTAGCATGTTTCCTTCTGTTTTATACCAGGTATACTTGAGATAGATGTTGTTAATGGACTTTAGTGCTGAGATGCTAAGGATTTGCAGCTCTCTCGGGATAAAATCTTAAGTCGTCCTAGGGCCTGATGAAAGATAATAAAATAGTTCAGAACTTAAAATGAGAAAGAACAAAGTATTGCTGATCTGTTTTAAGAAAAAAACTTTTATTGAAGTATAAAACAAATACAGAAAAATTCACATAACCTGAGTGTACAGCTTTCATAAACTGAACATTCCTGTCTACCTTGTACCCAGATTGAGAGCATTACCTTGCTGGGGTGCTTTGCTGGCTCAGTTGGAATTGCATGTGACTCTTGATTTTGGAGTTGTGAGTTTGAGCCCCATGTTCAGTGTAGAGATTACTTAAATAAATAAACTTAAAAAAAAAATTACCTTGCTAACATGTTTTTAATATAAGCTTAATTCTTTCTTGTTTAAGGAGGAAGAAGAACATGTTTTCTTCAGATACGCTATTATCTTTCTCTTTTATACTGCTACCTCTATAGCTATAATTTAAATGATGCTCAAGGATTGTGTGATCACCTAGTAAGAGAAATTTTGAGGTGGTCCCACCTACCTGTAAAAGAAAATGAGGATTGTTCAGGTATGTATTTTGACCATCAGTATGTTTAATCTCATTAATTTGTATTCATAGGTTTAGATATGAAATTGCTTATACATAAAAGTTGGTTGCTCTCACTAAATTAGGTTATAGTGAATTTTGACCTGTCAGCTTCTCAATAGCAAGGATCATGGGTTTTTCTTTTTTTTCTTTCTTTCTTTCTTTATTTGAGAAAGAGCGAATGAGAGAGAGAGAGAGAGCCAGCACAAGCAGGAGGAGGGGCAGAGGGAGAAGGAGAAGCAGACTCCCACTGAGCAGGGAGCCTGATGCGGGGCTCAATCCCAGGACCCTGAGATCATGACCTGAGCCAAAAGCAGATGCTTAACTGACTGAGCCACCCAGGTGCCCTTGTTTTGTTTTCTTAAATCTTTGGATCTGCAGGGCTTAGCAATAATTGCCTGCTGAACTGACAGAATTGTTTTCTCACAGCCATATTTGTTAGACATAATATCAGGTATCCAAGTATTTTTTCTTAATATATTTATATTTTAACTATGGCTTATGGTGGCTTAGTAAAGTGATGAAAATCACTTTCTGAGGTATTCCAACTCTTTTTTTAAACTTCACTTAAGAGGATGCAGAGTATCTGGATTGCCCTTTTTAAAAGAGGTATATTTAAATTAAACAATAACCAGAGTGAAAGGCATATATGAACACATACCTATGATGTTTATAAGGTAGTAGATCATTAGATGTATACTGTGCATATGAATGTGTCTGAAATACCCAGTGTATCAGAACTTTCTTTTTTTTTTTTTAAAGATTTTATTTATTTGACAGAGAGAGACACAGCAAGAGGGGGAACACAAGCAGGGGGAGTGGGAGAGGGAGAAGCAGGCTTCCCATGGAGCGGGGAGCCCGATGTGGGGCTCGATCCCAGGACCTGAGCCGAAGGCAGACACTTAACGACTGAGCCACCCAGGCGCCCTCTTTTGTAATCTTTTAAAATTTAACATTTTGATGAATATTTTCCAATGTAAATAATACGCTTTTTTGAAAACCTATTAAACCTTTCCCCCATTGTTGCATATTTTAGTTGTTGCCACCTATTTACTATTTTTTTTTTTATAGTCCTGCAGTTTACATAAACTTTTGTGGGAATTACTAATAATTTCTTTTTTTTTTTTTTTTAAGATTTTATTTATTTGACAGAGAGAGAGAGACAGCGAGAGAGGGAACACAAGCAGGGGAAGTGGGAGAGGTAGAAGGAGGCTTCCTGCCGAGCAGGGAGCCCTGTGCGGGGCTCAATCCCAGGACCCTGGAATCATGACCTGAGCCGAAGGCAGACGCTTAACAACTGAGCCACCCAGGCACCCCTACTAATAATTTCTTTAGGATAAATTTCTACAAATGAGGTTATTGGAGCAAAGAGAATCCATGGCTTTAAGACTGGTATCAGATTGCCCTCCAGGAAGGTCTGCTAGCTGTGTATGAGTGAAAAACTTTTATATGTGACTTTTTAAGTGATTGGATATTCTTCATTGTTTCTCATTGGTGTCACTAACTTTTAAAATAAATTTAACCTGTATAAATATATTTGTTTTAGTTTTTAATGACTATTGTTTAGAATATATTAAGTGTGTCCCTACGGGGTTGGAGGTCCCCAAGACTACCCCTCACCTTCGGTGGTTCACAGGGAGGACACACAGGAACCAGCATATAGTCATACTCAAGGCTATGATCTATTACAATGAAAGCAAAATTAGCAAAAGGAACAGGTGCATGGGATGAAGTCCAGAGGAAACCAGGCACAAGTTTCTAAGACTCTTTTCCTAGTGGAGTCACACGAGACACATTTAATTCCTCTAGCAGTAGGTTGTGTCAACACATGTGAATATTGTTTACCAAGGAAGCTCACTTATTTTTTTTAAAGATATTATTTATTCATTTGAGAGAGAGTGAGAGAGAATGAGCAGGGAGAGTGGCAGGGGGAGAGGGAGAAGCAGACTCCTTGCTGAGCAGGGGGCCTGATGCAGGGCTCCATACCAGGACCCTGGGATCATGACCTGAGCCAAAGGCAGACCCTTAACTGACTTGAGCCACCGAGGCGCCCCAAGGAAACTCATTTAGAGATTCAGTGCCCAGCGTTTTTAATTAGAGTCTGGTTAGTCTGGTTAGCCCTCTCTGCCTAGCCCATACCAAAGTTCTATACTCTCAGAAAAAAAACAGGTGTTCAGCATAAACCACATTGTTTGTACAAACAGGTCCAGTAAGCCATTCTCATCATTTAAGGTGGTGGAAATCTTTCCCAAATCCAAGTTCCCAGATGCCATCCAAGGGCCAACATTATATGCAAGCATTTCAAGTAGTCAGGCCTGTTCTGTTATCTCTTTTCTGCACATTTACCTTATTACATCATTGTATATAGTCATAATTTAATTTTTATTGCATAAGGTTGCCATTATTAACATCATCAGGGTACCACATGCAGAATTACTGTTTCAGATTTTTTTACTTCTGAATTGATACAGTTTTACTCTGTGACTATCTTTTAGAATTAGGTTGCTCCCCATTTAAGGAGCTTATTTTTGAGTTTCCAATAATGAGTTTTATATGATTAGAATTACTGGAAATCTTACCTTTGTATAATTCCTACAGCAAGGTTAATGCAGGAGAAAATTATTCATACCCATGTATTTTTAAGTTCAATGTGAAGAAATAGTATGGTTTTTCCAGACTTTCTTTAAATGACCAAATGAAGAATACTGTTTGAAGGCTAATAAGATTTTCTCAAAGGGCACCTGGGTGGCTCAGTTGTTAAGCGTCTGCCTTTGGCTCAGGTCATGATCCCGGGGTCCTGGGATCGAGCCCCGCATAGGACTCCCTGCTCGTCAGGAAGCCTGCTTCTCCCTCTCCCACTCCCCCTGCTTGTGTTCCTTCTCTCGCTCTCTCTGTCAAATAAATAAATAAAATCTTAAAAAAAAAAAAAAGATTTTCTCAAGATTCTCTTTATTAAGAAGAGCTTATTAACAATAATCTTGAGTGCCTACTCTGTGAGAGGAAGAGTGTTACATGCTGAGGTATACAGTGAAAAGATAGAAGTGGTTCATATGAATATAGAACTTAATATTCTTGTGAATATGTGTCAAGTGATTTCTGGGGAAGAAAAATATTTTGCTATTGTTGGGGCCATAAATTTTCTTTTAAATTAATTAATTAATCAATTAATTAATTAGGGGCAGAGAGGGAGAGAGAGAATCCCGAGTGGGCTCCACACCCAGCGCAAGCCCACCTGGGGCTCGATCTCACAGCCCTGAGATGGTAACCTGCGCGGAAATCAAGAGTTGGATGCTTAACTGACCGAGCCAGCCAGGTGCCCTGGGGCCATAAATTTCTAAAAAATTAATGTTAACTTTGTATTTATCTATATTTACTAGCTTAACTATTTTCAGATCTCTGAATGCCAGTTTATATTACTGAGTTTTGATTCTCAAATAGGGACGGCACATTTGCTCCTGCAGTTTATATATCAGAATCACCTCAGAAATCCTGATGTAATTCCTGCTCCCCCACCCATTTTCTCCCTCCACCCCACATTTTCCTCTTGTCCCTCCCTCCCCAAAGAATCTTACAATAGTGAGCCACTCTTACTAATGGGAGTGTATCCTAATCCCCAGATGTAATGGTACAGAAAACAGGCATTAAGAATTACTGTTCTAGAAGCTCTTGGGTGGCTCAGTTAGTTAAGCGGGTGCCTTTGGTTCAGGTCATGATCCCAGGGTCCTGGGATCAAGCATTGAGCATTAGCTTCCTGCTCAGCAGGGGTGTCTACTTCTCCCTCTCCCTCTGCCCCACTCACTCTGCGCTTGTGCTCTCTATCTCACTCACTTTCAATAAATAAAATCTTTTTTTTTTTAAAGATTTTATTTATTTATTTTAGAGAGAGAGAATGAGAGAGAGCACATGAGAGAGGGGAGGGTCAGAGGGAGAAGCAGACTCCCTGCCGAGTAGGGAGCCTGATGCGGGACTCGATCCCGGGACTCCAGGATCATGACCTGAGCCGAAGGCAGTCGCTTAACCAACTGAGCCACCCAGGCGCCCTCAATAAATAAAATCTTAAAAAAAAAAAGTCACTGTTCTAGTGCTGATTTTCAGATTATTTTTATAGTAAACTCTGCCTCCTTTCCAAAGAAAAAACATTGGAAAGGGAAGGAAAACGGAAAATAATGAAATATAAGCTTGCAAGTCCATCATGGCTGGATTGTTTTGTATTTATCGTTCTGTGTTTTAAAATAAAACTGGTAACTTGAAGTCATCAGTATTCCTAAGTGCGTGTGCTCATAATTGTGAGCTAACTATTTTTGTTTTATTGTCCTCAAGAAGCATAGATACCTATTATAAATTAGCTCATACAGGTCGTGGGTGCTCATCTGAGAAAAAAATTTTAATTATAATTTTCTTCTTGTATAATGTTGGGAACTTAAATATTATTGCTTTTTGATAGTTTGATCAGAATCTCCTTTGGTCATTTGCTGTATTCCTTAGTTCCTGAGAAGTCTCACTGTGAGTTTGGAATGACTAGAAATGTTGTTCCTGAAGCGGCAGTGACGGTTATCCAGTCCATGGCTCGTTTCATGGCCGCCTATTTCGCCAATCAGCTGCTTTACATTTTGCCACCTCACAATGTGAATGTTCTTCCTCCCCTTCATGTTAAAACAGGTAATACAGTAAGCAAATAATTTTCTCACTTTGTTTTTTTACATAGTATTTAAAATCAACTTATACAGTGACCATTATTCTATGGAAATAATACTGTTCTAGCTTAGTGTGTGAGTACAGATTCTCAGTGACTAAATGAATAAAATCTGAGACAGGTATTGCTTGGGTTTGTTTTTATTGAGTATGGATTTTTAATTACAAATTTTAGACAAATTGGTATTTTTTATAAAGTTTCCATTTTTATTTTTTTATTTTTTAAAGATTTTATTTATTTATTTGAGAGAGAGAGAGCTCATGAGAGGGGGGAGGGTCAGAGGGAGAAGCAGACTCCCTCTTGAGCAAGAAGCCCGATGTGGGACTCGATCTCGGGACTCCAGGATCATGACCTGAGCCAAAGGCAGTCGCTTAACCAACTGAGCCACCCAGGCGCTCTAAAGTTTCTATTTTTAAAGTAAAAGGACTGTCATTTATATAAAAATGTGGAAATTTAACAGATTTTGAGTATGCTAATTTAGAATTTAATTTTATTTGGATGATTTACTTTTATCATTTTCTTTGGATCATTTACTTTTCTCTATTTAATCATTTTATTAATGTCAAAATGTACCACAGATTAATGCATAGAGAACTGCTCTGCCCTTACGGAGAGAAACAATGTACACAGATTTCTGTGATGTTCATTTTATTCCACTAATTTTATTAAGTGTCTGCTGTGTACCAGGCAGAGTTGTAGGTGCTAGAAATATATTAACTTGTACCATATGAGATTAATATTATGAAGATATTTGTAGTTCTTTTGTTTTGATGTATGAAATAGACTTATTCTGACTGCCATGAACAAAACAGATAAAATACCTGTTCTTTTATGGAGTTTAAATATAACATCCAATTAAATTAACATCTAATTAATTAAATAACATCTAATAGCTTGAAACAGAAAATTAAATAAATGAATACATAAACAAGTGGTGATTATTGGCATGCAGAGAGTTGAAGTAGAGTAATGCATTGTGACTGAGTGGGTATTTCAGATGGCGAATTTAGGAAAGTGCTCTCTGAGGGTGGGGCAGGGGGGGACATTTAAGATGAACTCTTAATGAAAGAAAGAGCAGCCTTGGACCCATCAGGACTTACAGCATTCTTTTTTTTTTTTTTTTTAAAGATTTTATTTATTTATTTGAGGCAGAGAGAATGAGAGACAGCATGAGAGGGAGGAGGGTCAGAGGGAGAAGCAGACTCCCTGCCGAGTAGGGAGCCTGATGCGGGACTCGATCCCGGGACTCCAGGATCATGACCTGAGCCGAAGGCAGTCGCTTAACCAACTGAGCCATCCAGGCGCCCAGGACTTACAGCATTCTAACCGAGCTTGTGCAGAAGCCCCAGAACAAGAATAAACTTGATGCATTTGAGAAACTGAAAGGCTGGTGTGGCTGGAGGATAGAGGGAGAAGTGGAGAATGATAAGAGATGACGTCAGAGATGGGGCCAGATGTTGTGAGCCAGGGGAAGGAATCTGTACTTTAAATACAGTGGGGTTTCAGCAGGAAGTAACGTGAACTGATAAATATGTACACATACGTTAGAATAGTACAAGATGTAAGGTAATTAGAAGTTTAATAGAGGGGGTGCCTGTGCCTGGGTGGCTCAGTCTGTTAAGCATCTGCCTTCAGCTCAGGTCATGATCCCGGGGTCCTGCAATGGAGTCCTGTGTCGGGCTCCCTGCTCAGCGGGGAGCCTGCTTCTCCCTCTCCCTCTGCCCCTTTCCCCGCTTGTGCTTTCCCTCTCTCTCTCTCGTTCTCTCTCTCTCAAATAAATAAATATTTTTAAAACGTTTAAAAGAGGTAGCAACAAGTGGTCAGCAAATTTAATCACAGAACTGTGGATTTTGAACTGTGTGTTCAGAGTCTTCTGTAAATGTCTCAAGATGTGGGTAGGAGCAGAGGACTGTTTGTACCCACTTGAACACTTTAGCAGTAGTGCTAGTCTCTCTTCTCATCTGGGGTTCTTCAGGAGGTTCTGCTCCCTAGAAAATCATGTGTGTGAGGTAGGATCAGAAGGGAACTTGTCTCATGGCTTCTTTTCTAGTAGGTCCCTGCTTCCCTGGGAAAAAATGTTGGTCCCGACCTGATTCTGGCTTCTTTTAGGGAGCTGGTATGAACAGAAACAGGTGCTCAGCTTTCACCAGGCTCTGCCTGCTCTCCTGTCCCTGCCCACCATTGTCCTTTTCTGCCATGTCCTAACTCAGATTCAGCTGGTGCTCCCTGCCTTTCCTCCCTAACAGCATGTGCTCCTTTCACTTTAATGCTTTCCTCTAAGCCTCTCAGATACCTATTACTTATTTCCTTATACATTTGATATTACATTTGACCCAGGAACAAACGGGTTAGGCGTGCCGGCCCCCTGCATAGTCAAAAATTCACATACAACTTTTGACTCTCCCAAAAGTGAACTGTCGATAACTTACTGTTGACCACATGCTTTACCCATAAGATCAACAGTTAATATGTATTTTGTATATGTATAATATACTGTATTCTTACAATAAAGTAAGCTAGAAAAAGAAAATGTTAAGAAAATCATAAGAGAAAGTACATTTGTATTACTGTACTGTATTTATTCAAGGAAATTGTGTATGAGTAGACCTGCACAGTTCAAACCTATGTTGTTCAAGGGTCAACTGTATTTATTATCATTACAGTGGTTTTATATTTAAGCTCTCTTTTTTGTTACATCCCTAAGTACTTACCACCTGTGGTTTCTCTTTTTGGTAGTAAGGTTTCTGACAACAAATTGTGTCCTTAATCCACCTTATTTTACTAAAGAGGAGAGGTAGTACTGAATGCGGTTTTTTGAAAAACCTAAAAAAAAGAAAAAAAAATCAAATCCTGACTTAGAAAATTTGTCTCAATTTCTTGTCTTCGTATCCTACATTATTTATAGGACTTTGCTGTTTGCCATGATCTTTATCTTTTCAGATCACTTTGCATACCTAGGGAAGATCTTTTTTTTTTTTTTAAAGATTTTATTTATTTATTTGACAGAGAGAGAGATAGCGAGAGCAGGAACACAAGCAGGGGGAGTGGGAGAGCGAGAAGTAGGCTCCCTGCCGAGCAGGGAGCCCAATGTGGGACTCGATCCCAGGACCCTGGGATCATGACCTGAGCTGAAGGCAGCCGCTTAACGACTGAGCCACCCAGGCGCCCTAGGGAAGATCTTTATCACATTGTAGGAAGAAAGGTGATAGAATTATTGAATTGTTTTTGGACATATTCATAAACATTCATAAAAGCTCAAAGACACACATTTTTATTCCTTGTGTAAATATCTTCCCAGTGAGAGTAGAGGGTGGGAAAGAAAGTTTTGTGATCTCTTCCTAAGCCTGAAACTGTGATTATTGAAAATTTAAACACCTGAAACTTGATATATATCCTTCAGTTTCTTTAATTTCCTAGTATCTTGGAAAAGGATATCCACAGGCTTGACTTAAAATAGATTTTATGTTAATCTTTTTAATCAGAGCTAATGGCAGAATGTATTGAGGATTTGAATTGCTTATTTGGTGTGATGCTTGCTGTACAAAAGCAATAAAATTTTCAGAAAATTAAATCAGTCAAGTTCTTTTAGTAGTATGGTACCTTGCTCATAGTAAATAAAAAAGTAGGAAAAATTTCATCAATCTCCAGGCTCTTTGCCTATGCAGAATCAGTCAAGTGAATGACAAATTTTTGTGTTTCTATCCAAATGTATTTGTCAGAAAGCTAATGTGTTATTGTTTGGAACAGGCAGAGACTAGGTCACGTGAGAAACTAATTGTTTCAAGGAACAGAAACCCATGCATACCATTTGCCAGGTTTATTTTGAGGAAGTGAGTGGGAATCTTAGCAATATATATTTTTTTAAAAATAGCAGTTCAGTCATTGTATTTCCAAGTTGCTTATTTGAATGTTACTTTAATTAGGGAATGGTATGGAAGGCTAGGGAGAAGGATATGACCCTTTGTATTTAATCCCAGGCCAGGCTGAAATCTTGTCCATTTAGTCAGGATTATTTTCTACTTTCTTATAAACACTAATATATTGAACACTTAATGCTTGAGTTTTACCTCAAATTAGTATTTTATTCCATGGCACTGTGAGGAATACAAAGTCATGTAAAATGTGTCTCTGCTCTCCAAATTTCTACTAGGAGAAATAGAGATGTATTTTAGTCAGCCGTACAGTAATAAATTGTACACTGTGGCCCAGTATACTTAAGTGTGTATATGTATGTTTCTATTATCTGACATAAAGTTTTCATTAAACTGTATTTACATTTATTTTATGTAATGTACTCAATGCTCTCTCTTCTCTTTCTGTATCCACTCTGTTCTTTTTCCTTTTTTTTTTTTTTAAAGATTTTATTTATTTATTTGACAGAGAGAGACACAGCGAGAGAGGGAACTTCCACAAGCAGGGGGAGTGGGAGAGGGAGAAGTAGGCTTCCCTCCGAGCAGGGAGCCCGATGTGGGACTTGATCCCAGGACCCTGGGATCATGACCTGAGCTGAAGGCAGATGCTTAACGATTGAGCCACCCAGGCTCCCTCTTTTTCATTTTTTAAGAATGCTGGCATTTACTTCATGACCCAGTAATGAGACATTTTCTTCAGTTTTTTTTTTTTTTTAAAACAACCTAGAGTATGTTAAGTATTATTTTAAACCATTTAAAAAAAAATATTTTATTTATTTAGAGTGGGGGAGGGGCAGAAGAATAGGGAGAGGGAGAGAGAATCCCAAGCAGACTCTGCACTGAGTGCAAAGCCCAACGTAGGGGTTCCATCTCATGACCCCGAGATCATGACCTGACCTGAAACCAAGAGTCGGACGGTCAGCCGACTGTGCCACCCAGGCGCCCCCATTTTAAACCATTTATTTATTTTATTTTTTTATTTTTTTAAAGATTTTATTTATTTATTTGACAGAGAGAGACACAGCGAGAGAGGGAACACAAGCAGGGGGAATGGGAGAGGGAGAAGCAGGCTTCCTGCTGAGCAGGGAGCCCGATGCGGGGCTCCATCCCAGGACCCCGGATCATGACCTGAGCCGAAGGCAGACGCTTAATGACTGAGCCACCCAGGTGCCCCTAAACCATTTTTTAAAAGATTTTATTTATTTATTTGAGAGAGAAAGAGCATGAGCAGGGGATAGGCAGGGGAAGAGGGCGAGAGAGGTGGGAAGCAGACTCCCTGCTGAAGGGTGGAGCCCTGAAATCATGATCTGAGCAAAAGTGAGATGCTTAACCAGCTGAGCCACCCAGGCACCCCTATCTTAAGCCATCTTTCTTGTTGTGATTTTGTGTAGAAAATACTAATTAAAGAGATAGGGGCTCCTGGCTGGCTCATTCAGTGGAGCATGTGACTCTTGATCTTGGGTTTGTAAGTTTCAGCCCCACATTCAGTGTAGAGATTACTTAAAAAATAAAATCTTAAAAAAAAAGGAGAGAGAGATGTAACTGTGTGAGGAGTGAGTTCTGATAAATGTAATTGTAATATTCATTTTCTTTTATTTACTCATAGAACAGTGCCTTCGACTTATTCCTCTACAACACTCTGAAGTGGCTAGTGTTGTAAGAGATCAGAATCTTTCTGATGTGTGGACAGTTGAATATGCCTTTGAATTATTACTTATTGGAGGCCTAGTTCCAGAGGCTGTGTGGTTGGCACATAAACTTGGAGACTGGAAGACATCTGTTTCCATTGGTGTGGCTTTCCAACTGTTCTGTAAACATGATAGAAATTTCATAAGGTATGTATATTTAGGCAGACTTAGATTAAGAAATAGTATCATAGTATCATCTAACTATTTTTTTATTTCTCTCATTGCTGGCATTTATGCATTTTGTGGAATCCTTAGTCCAGCAATATCCAATAAACTTGTTTTCAGTGTTGGAAAAGTTCTATATGTGCAGTCCAGTATGATAGCTGTCAGTCACATGCAGCTACTGAGCACTTAAAATGTGGCTGGTAAGACCAAGGAACTGAGTTTTCAATCTAATTTAAATTTAAATTTAAATAGCTAAATATGCAGCTGGTGGCTACTATGTTGGACAGCTCAGCAGCTTTCTTGTGTTAAAACTTAAAAAAAACAAAAACAAAAAACTTTTATTTAGCACATTTGTTAGTAATGCCCTCAAAAGGCTTTTAGTCAATGGGAGAGTTGGTCTGTCTTGAGTAGGATTTGAATTTTAAGCTAATCAATCTAATACCTGTATTTTAACTTTTTTGAATATTATGGTATTGCTGTATCTTTGATATTTTTCAGTTCAATAATTCAACATATATTTATTTATTAAGTAACCTTTCTTTACCAAGCTCTCTGCCAGGTATTTTAGTAGATATAAACTTAAATGGCACATAGTCTTCATATTGAAGGCATTTATAGTTAGTAGAAAAATTAGGACGAAACATTATTATAATTTAGATAGTGTGGTAAGAAAAGTGCCAGTTGTGCAGTGGAGAGAGCAATAGTATGAAGTGGGCATAGGACAGGAAATACTTTATGTAGGAGATACCATTTGAGATGGGCATTGAAGGGAAGACAGGATCTTGACAAATAGAGTAGCTGTAGGGAGGGAGAACATTCCACACATGAGCAAAGGCATATGGCAAAAGACAAGTTTGGTGCAGTGTGGATAGAGTAGACTGTAGGGTAGCAATGGGAAATAATGATGGGACAATGTATTAGTATCATAATCATGGAGAGCCTTAAAAATCTCCTCAGTGCCTTATTTCCTCAATTCTTTCTTTTTTTTCCCCTAATTATTTCTTTTTAAAATAGAGGATGAATAAGGAAAGTGAATTTCACTGTTTAAGATTTCATGTTTAGTTCTTAGTGTGTTAATATTTTCTTTTTTAAAATTTGGGTTCATTTCTCTTAACTTGATGTGATTTCAGGTCCAACAAAAAGGGTCTAAATTTACCAATAAATTTGACTCCAGGACAGATTTTCCAGGAAAAACTGAAGTGTTTTTTAGGTCGGCCAGCCTCTTTTGAAGCAAAAAATGAAATGGGCGCAAAATACAAACAGTTTACAGGTGTGTTACCTACATATACTCTGACAGTGTATCAGCTTAATTAATATAAACCTCATGACATTTTAAAAAGCTTGTTAATATCCATAAATATATTAAAATTTGCAGTAAGCTTATCAAAGATACAAGTTTGCTATTTATTCTTAATCATGGGAGCATTCAAAACTTATGCCAGCTTAAAAACCGATGGTCAGTAACTGAATGATACTCTGATTTTCTGTACATATCTTTTTACTTAGTTGTATTTTGCTACATTTGGATTATTTTCTTTTGTAGTCATAGTTGTAGAATCTTGTAGAATTTTGCACACGTGAGAGTATTTAAAAGTATTTAGTTCAACTCTTGCTGAGTGCATAAATCACAGAGTTGGTTTTGTTTTTAGTTTGAAAAGTTCAGAGTGGCATTACAGAATTAAAAATAATGTAATATCACATATATTTCATAGATTTACCCAGGAGCCTTATAAAATTTGTCTGTTTTATAGATGGAGAAATTTAGATGAAAAGTAATGAAGTCAGTTATTTAAAGTTGTATGTTTAATGACTACTGTGGGACCCTTTGGTTTTATTAGTGCATGTCTCCATTAAGCAGTGACTCTAGATTCTTAGAACTTACTAATTATAACTTCTCTTTCCAGAAAGAACTCATAATACTTGGAAATCTGACTAAAAACTTTTCTTTGATAATTTTCTGTCAATATTTTTTAATTTTTAAATTTTTATTTATTTTTAAAGAATTTATTTATGTATTTATTTGAGAGAGAGAGAGAGAGAGAGAGCAAGAGAGCAGCAGAGAGAGAGAGGAAGCAGGCTCCCCTCTGAGCAGGAAGCCCAATGCGCGGCTTGATCTCAGGACCCCGGGATCATGACCTGAGCTAGAGGGAGACACTCAACCCTCTGAGGCATCCAGGCACCCCTGTCAATATTTTTTTAAATAAATGAGAAGATAATGTAACTACATGAAAGTTGGTTTTGAAAGAAAAGGACTAAAAAAGTCCCAGTCTGAACTTAAAGTTCTAGCAATATGTTTTTTAAATAATCTGCAAAACTTTCCCATAATAAATATATAGATAAGATGTGTCTGTAGATAAAATATAAAAATACACATTTTAAAGCTAATATATAGAGAAAGTAGGGGAAATTTCCAGGAGTCAGAAACAAAAAGGAAATAGAAACTCAGTGGATTCCACCCCTAGGTATTTACCTAAGCATAATAAAAACATAGAAGCACCCAAAGACCTGTATACAAATGTTCGTGGAAGCTTTTTCATAACAGGCAAAAACTTGAAACAACTCCAGTGCCCGTCAACTTGTGAATGGATAAACAAATCTCAATGTATCTGTATAATAGAATAATCAATAATGAAGAAGGGCAAACTACTGATAACATGCAAAAACATGATTGAATTGCAGAACCATTGTGAGGGATGAAAGAAGTCAGAAACAAAGATTACATATAGTTTGATTCCATTTATGTGACATTTTAATAAAAGTAACACTGTAAGGGGGGCACTTGGGTGGCTCAGTTGGTTGAGTGTCCTACTCCTGGTTTCAGCTCAGGTCATGATCTCGTGGGTTGTGGCATCAAGTCCCACATTGGTTTCAGCGCTCAGCATGGAGTCTGCTTGAAGGATTCTCTCTGCCCCTCCCCCCATTCGCCCTCTCCCTCTTTCTCTCTCTTTCTCTCAAATAAATAAATCTTTAAAAAAAAAAAAGTAATAGTATAAGGACAGGAAACAGATCGGTGGTTGCCAACAGAAAGGTGTAGGAGAACTTTTTTGGGATGATGGCATTATTCTTACAGGGCTGTATAGATTTGTCAAAACTCATTTGAACTATATACTTAAAAAGGATGAATTTTAGTGTATGTAAATTATACCTTATAAACCGATTTAAAAGCAAACTCAGCAGATGGTTAGTGAAGTGGAAAATGAATTTGAACTCTCTAGGTGTGTAGGACACAACATCAGTGTAATAGGGGTTCCAATATACCCATACCAAATTGTGGATAGTAGCTGTCTCTGGAGAGAGTGAGTGGAATATGATTGGTACATAAGAAATTTCAGCTATATCTGAAACATTTTATTTTTAAAAAATATTAATTAAATATATCAACAATGTTAATATCAGACAAGGATGAAAAGTCAATACATGAGTGTTTTCCTATTATATTCTATATCTTAAAGCATGTAAATATTTCATAATATAAAAGTCCCTAAATCTCCAGTTCTATCTCCTGTATCTCCTTGCATTTTATCTTCTAGGACATGTCCACATTAATACAGATACTTATATAGTTGAAGCTAGATTGTAGGACTGTTTTTTATCTTTTTAAAAAAATGTTTATTTAAATTCAGTTAGTCAACATATAATATATCATTAGTTTTTGATGTAATGTTCAATGATTCATTAGTTGCCTATAACACCCAGTGCTCATCATATCGCATGCCCTCCTTAATACCCATTACCCAGTTATCCCATCCCCCCACCCACCTCCCTTCCCGCAACCCTCAGTTTCTTTCAAACTCAACACCCAAAAACCAAATAATCCAGTCAAGATGTAGGCAGAAGACATGAACAGACACTTCTCCAAAGAAGACATACCTATGGCCAACAGACACATAAAATGCTCCACATCACTTGCCATCAGGGAAATACAAATCAAAACCACAATGAGATACCACCTCACACCGGTCAGAATGGCTAAAAATAACAAGTCAGGAAACAACAAATGTTGGCGAGGATGCAGAGAAAGGGGAACCCTCCTTCACTGTTGGTGGGAATGTTTTGTATCTTCCTGCTTTTTTTTTTTTTTAACTTTATGACATAAGTCATTTTTACTAACTTTATTTAAAAAATACTGTGGTGGGGGCACCTGGGTGGCTCAGTCGGTTAAGCACCTGACTCTAGATTTCAGCTCAGGTCATGATCTCAGGTTCATGAGATCAAGCCCTGCATTGAGCTCTGCTCTTGAGTGTGGAACCTGCTTAAGATATTCTCTCTCTTCCTTCCTCCTGCCCCCCATCCATGGTCAATCTCTCCCTCAAAACAAAAAAAAACAAAACAAAAAACCCCAAACAAATAAATAGATAAAAAAAATAAAGTAGCAGAATAGTTATTAAATGTCTGTCTAGAAGTTGCCTTGTTTTGCCTGTCAAACAATATGTTCACTTTTGATGATTAGGTTTTTCAGGTAGGAAATTTTACACTACAAAATAGGATCAGCATAATATAAATTTTAACTGTTTTACCTAATTTTGTATTTGGTAGATCCCATTGAAGAAGAAGATGTAAATCTGCTATTTGGTTCAGTGCAAGAAGTACTGAAAGCAGCAGTTATGGCTGATGCAGATATTCTGTCAGAGACATTTCAGCTTCTGGTAAATTCTGCCAAGGACTTCAGTAGAAGGCTGCGGGGCTTAGTGCCGGTCGGCTTGTATCTTCCGGCTCCTCCATTGTATTGTCCTCAGCCAGCCATTCGCAGTGAAGTAAGCTTAGTGCTTAATCTTTTAATTAATTTAAAGTTGATTTTGTCCAAATTTTAAAATAATCAACTTGATGATAATTATCAAGTTAAGAATGCAAGCTCTGAAGACAAACTTCCAAATCCCAGCTTTGCTGTTTATTAATTGTATAATCTTAGGCAATGTACTGAACTACTTAAGTTTCCTTATCTGTAAAATGCAGATGATGATAGTACCTGTAATAGTATTATTGTGAGGATTAAATGAGATATCCTGTAAAAGCTTTTACCTTAGGGCCTAGGACACATAGTAAGCAGTCAATAAATGTTAAAATTATTGCAATAATAAAATAAAATCAAGAGGGCGCCTGGGTGGCTCAGTCGTTAAGCGTCTGCTTTCGGCTCAGGTCATGATCCCAGAGTTCTGGGATCGAGTCCCACATCGGGCTCCCTGCTCGGTGGGAAGCCTGCTTCTCCCTCTCCCACTCCCGCTGCCTGTGTTCCCTTCTCGCTGTGTCTCTCTCTGTCAAATAAATAAAATCTTAAAAAACAAAACAAAAGAGAACGTTCTCTATATCCAGGTTTTAAAAAAATAGACATTTGTTTAGGGTAACAAATAATGAATGTCAGAATTTAGAAGCCATACATTATTTCAGTCTTTTATTCACCTCATTGTCTGCCTCTTTGGAAAGACTATTTATTTATTTATTTATTTATTTTTTATTTGATAGGTCATTTTTTTCTCCTGCACTATTCAGTTGATAGTTCTGTCACAAATAGCAATACGGTGTTCCTCTCAGGAACTTTTTCTCTGCTCTCATGACATTACAATTAGCTGGTTTTAAGATTTAAAGTATTAATGCACATTATTTACTTATAAATTATTTTAACATCTGATTAATATTTTGAAGTGATTCTGATATTGTTTCTTTACTACTTACTATTTTATTTTATTTTTTTAAAGATTTTATTTATTTATTTGACAGAGAAAGACACAGCGAGAGAGGGAACACAAACGGGGAGTGGGAGAGGGAGAAGCAGACTCCCTGACGAGCAGGGAGCCTGATGCGGGACTCGATCCAGGGACTCCAGGATCATGACCTGAGCTGAAGGCAGTCGCTTAACCAACTGAGCCACCCAGGCGCCCTACTACTTACTATTTTAGTATTAGCAACTTCTCTGTATCTAGTTTTTTCTTTTCTTTTTTAAGAGTTTTTATTCTAATCTGTTATATTTAAGATTATGTTTCAGTAGGTTAAAATATTTCATTTATTGATATTTCAAATGTAATATGTTATATATGGAAGGGATAAATAGTCCATTGTATTCTCAGTAATTGGTCTTTTCTGTCACATCTGAGTCTTCAGTATATTGGCTTAGAAATTAGAAATAGCATTTTAAGGTATTTTTGGAATATGCTATGCTAATATTAGTTTGAGTGGTTATGATCCTTAGTAGTGATTCATTTTATTAAAATAATCCTCAGTGGTAGGATTTCTAAATATCACTCTAAATCACTTTATATCAATTAGAACTCTTTGGGTTGGAAATAATAGAAAATTTGGTCCAAATTGGCTGGCATAATTAAGAAGCCCAGTAGTAGGGTAACTTCTGACTCAGTTATGTTAGCATAGATTGGAGCTCTTCCTCTCTAGTTTGTTTTCTAAGGTGTTAGCTTCAGCTTAAGGCTGGCTCCCTTTGTGGGAGCAAGGTGGCCACCAGCAGCTTCTAAGGATACCTTGTCCATGTCCAGAGGGAGAGGGAAGGGGAGAAAGAAAAACAGTAGAAGTATTTCTCCCCCAGTATTTCTCTCCCTCAGGATACTGAGATTGACTCTTGGCTAGGGAGAATGCAGGGTTCTGTTTGGCAGTCCATTAGTACCATTGGAGTCAGGAGTGGTGGGTTTTAACTGTTGTAGGGAAGACTTGGGTTTAGGGTCAGTTTAGCCCTTTACACTGAGATGAGAGAAATATTTCCTTGACACTAGAAATAGCTATAGTTGAAATCTCTAAGGCCATCCCTCAAAATTTCCCTTATAAATCTCCAGGAACATTTTCGTTTGAGAAACACTATATTTATTTTCACTTTAACCCTTTAAAATTTCATATTACTAGCTACTAAAATTAATTGTTTTATTTTCTTCAGGAAGATGGTGATGATCTTCTTTTAAAAGCTGAGAAAGAGAACCGCCAAAAGGTGTCTGGAATCCTTCAACGGGTCCTCTTGCTTTTCCGGGCAGCTCGGTGTTCTTTTCCTGTGGCACAGTGGTACATCTTGCAGTTGAGATGGGCGAGAAAGGTCATGCAGAAGGTTTGGAAATGTCTTAGTCACTTATGTGCTATGTTAAACTATTTAAATCTACTACTGTTTCTTCATATTTACAAATACTTAGAATCATGACATTTTCCCAAGGAATCCTACCCTATAAATCCATAGATTTCAGGTTTGTTTATAATAAGCAAGCCTGTCATCCCCTTCTACACTGACTTCAGCTGAGCCATAGCTGCATCCTTACCTGATGTGCGGCCAGACGGGACATCTGCTCATATGTCCCTTATCCAGCTGCAAGTCCTTTGTAGGCCTGTTGTCTGTTTCTATGAAATGTGGAAATAAATATTATTAGCCCCGAATATCTTTAATTTGGCCCTTGATTAAATGTTTTTGTTTTTAAGTAGGCTCTATGCCCAGTGTGGAACCCAACATGGGGCTTGAACTCAAGACGTCAGATCAAGACCTGAGCTGAGATCAAAGAGTCGGATGATTAAGCGACTGAGCCACCCAGGCGCCCCAGCCCTTGATTATATATATATATATATTTTAAAGATTTTATTTATTTATTTGAGAGAGAGAGAATGAGAGAGAGCACATGAGAGGGGGGAGGGTCAGAGGGAGAAGCAGACTCCCCGCCGAGCAGGGAGCCCGATGCGGGACTCGATCCAGGGACTCCAGGATCATGACCTGAGCCGAAGGCAGTCACTCAACCAACTGAGCCACTCAGGCGCCCCCTTGATTATATTTAAAACAAGAATTTACAACTTTTTTTAGTAGGAACCTTTAGACTTTGAGAAGTTACCAAGTTGTTTTTGAAAATTAGACTTTTTTTTAGAAAGAAAGGTTTGTAAAATTTGCTTACAGCTACCATAAAAATATAACATGAAATTGTACCCTTTCTGTATCTTGTCATCCCAAAGTTGTTTTTATTTTTTATTTTTTTTTAAGATTTTATTTATTTATTTGAGAGAGAGAATGAGAGACAGAGAGCATGAGAGGGAAGAGGGTCAGAGGGAGAAGCAGACCCCCTGCTGAGCAGGGAGCCCGATGTGGGACTCGATCCTGGGACTCTAGGATCATGACCTGAGCTGAAGGCAGTCGCTTAACCAACTGAGCCACCCAGGCTCCCCCCCAAAGTTGTTTTTAAAGCATGTTTACTAAGAAGGGCGAAGAGTTTTCCTGTGTTATTGAAAGATTGGTTTTAATAGTTTCAGGATCTACTGAGCCTGTTTATTATAGGAAACTTCATTTTATTAAGATTTTTTATTTTTATTTTTTTATTTATCTGAGAGAGAGAATGGGAGACAGAGAGCATGAGAGGGAAGAGGAGGGTCAGAGGGATAAGCAGACCCCCCGCTGAGCAGGGAGCCCAATGCGGGACTCGATTCCGGGACTCCAGGATCATGACCTGAGCCGAAGGCAGTCGCTTAACCAACTGAGCCACCCAGGCGCCCAGGAAACTTCATTTTAAAAATTGTTTAAGTAAACAGTTTTCTACAATGAAGTTGAAAATTAGATTTGCATAGAAGTTTGATCTTATGTACAAATCCTGACAGTAATCTCACTTAATCCAGCTTTAACTAATTCAGCTAGCGTTAAGACTTTAGTGACATAGCTGAAAACATGCCTCCTAGGAATAACAGGCCATCGACTAGAGCCTTTGTATGTAGTCATTGCTACTCTGATTGCCCAGTGCCTCGTGTGACTTGTGGCTTATCTTTAAGGCTTGTTATCAACCCCTGGGCTATATACAGAAGGACCATAAATTCCCTCTAATTCACTATTCCTCCAATTTATGTGATAGTTTTATTGTTAGCCCATGAATTTATTGATCTTGGGAGAGATACCAAAAATGTGGAGATCCATTCTTACAGAAATATTAATGACTTATAAGTGATTCCCTATATTGCTGTTTTCCCTACCTCCTTCATTTATACTTTATTGGGCATATAATCTAATTACAAATTTGGTTGTAGTAAATTGATGTTTTCTAAATTGGTTGGAATGGTGGAACACTTGTTGCTACCAAAATTATAAGGTCTTTATTCATGAAAGCAAAAAAATCACATTTCTCATTAAGTTGCATACCAAAATATGGACTGTTGCTGTAGGAATCTGAACGCTTGACAGGGAGCAGAGATCGGATTACAAGAAACTCTTGAGTGTGGCTAAGAAGTTTGTGCTGGTTGTTAGCAAGAGGCTTCCCCTGAGCAAGTGATTCAAAAGACAGCAGGGCGAAAGCTATGATGCCTTTGTGATTTATTCCCAGAAATCAATACAACCACTTTGTATTCTGTTGATTAGAAACTAGTTACTTAGAATGATCTACAATCCAGGTGAGGGAAGTTAGGCTCTACCTCTGAAGGGAGGAGTCTTAAAGGATTTGTGGACATATTTTAAAACCACCATACTCTTATGCCAATGTTAACAATAATTCCTTATTAATATCTAACACCTGGTCCATAATAAAATTTCCCTGATTTTGAAAATGTTTTTTTTAAAGTAGGTTTTTTGGAATCAAGGTCCAACTGAAGTTCACCCATGTTTGGTTATGAGATTATAGGAAGGACTATATTATCAAGTCTGACTCATAAGAATCAACAGACTTACCCAGGATCAAACTTTATACCAATGATTTCAAGGATATAACTAAAAGACACAGGTGAAACCTGCAATTGCATATGTTGTTCCCAAGGTTTTTCTTGCTGTGGAAGAATGTGATCTGGCCTCTGTTTAACATCATGACGCAAAAGAGTATCAGTTACTGAACATCTCCTTTTTTATATCTCTTTAATTATATAGCTTGTGTGACATTTTCAGTGAGCCATACTCCATAAATCCATGCATGCTACGTTTATTTATAATAACCAACCTAGCTAGGCTCTGTACATCTAGTAAATACTGTTCAATTGTTTGACAAGAAGTCTGTCATTAGCATGCTTACAAGGGGATTTGATAAGATCATGTCTTTATGGAAGTGAATAGAAGAGGGAGAAAGTAGATTACAAACCTGCTGCTAATCCTTTTGTTTTCAGGTTTATGTCTCTTAGATTCCTTTTCTTTTTTTTTTTTTTTTTTAAAGATTTTTTATTTATTTGACAGAGAAAGACACAGCGAGAGAGGGAACACAAACGGGGAGTGGGAGAGGGAGAAGCAGACTCCCTGCCGAGCAGGGAGCCCGATGCGGGACTCGATCCCGGGACTCCAGGATCATGACCTGAGCCGAAGGCAGTCGCTTAACCAACTGAGCCACCCAGGCGCCCCTAGATTCCTTTTCTTTTATTCTGTAGCAGTTTCCTTTAATTTCTTTTCTCTTGTTGATTTGTAGAGAAATTTGTCCTGTACCATATTCTGCATGTGTTTGATAGTTTATCCATTTAGTATCATTTAATTTATTCCTCTTTCCTTTTATTTCCCCATAAACTAGTAATTACTCTATACTCATTGAGGTACAGAGGCTTGATCAGGTTCACATTTTCTTAGAAATGGGTCCTTCATAAATGGTATGGTATACTTCCCTGTTGCATCATATCATTTGACACACAGGACTTTTTATCTCACTTTTAGTGATGGTAAGAGGGATTCATGAGTTTGGGTTGTGTTTTACCCACTCATGTTCTCCTTCAGCCCAGCAACTTTTTACCTAATTGAACATTTATTGATTATCCTTGCTGGAGTCATTACTTTATTAGGAGTTGCCAGATGGTGACTTTCTAATTCTGTCACTTAAGTTTTTTAAAAATTATATAGGTAGATATAACTTTTGTTGTATTTATTTTTAGGTACTGCACATAGTTTTGTTTTGGATGAGAGATACTTAAATATCTTTTTTTCCTTTATTATGCCTTTGGGGAAAGTCAGGACAAATAGCATTAAATTCTTTTTATACAGGCAAAACTGAGTGATGAAAAAAATTTGATTGAAATCTTCTTTTCTCTTTTTGTGATCTAGCCTAGTGAATTTCTTTCTTTTTTTTTTTAAAAAGATTTTATTTATTCATTTATTTATCAGAGAGCGGAGAAGCAGGGGGAGCGGCAGGCAGAGGGAGAAGCAGGCTCCCTGTTGAGCCAGGAGCCCAATGCGGGACTTGATGCCAGGACTCTGGGATCATGACCTGAGCTGAAGGCAGATGCTTAACCAACTGAGCCACCCAAGCGTCCCTAGCCTAGTGAATTCTTGAATTAAATTTGTGAGCTAAGTTTCTGAAAGTACAGCTCATTTCAGGGATATTTTCTTACATAGTATAGGAACCATGCTGTGTTTTCCATTCTATATGGTTTATCTTACCTGCCTTGTTTGTTCCTTTATAGCTTCCTCAAAAATAGATTTAGATCACTGATAACTAACATATTCTGTCATTCTTTCAGATTCGAATGAAAGGGTCCCTTCCTTCATTGAGTCCTTTCCCTCAGTCATTACTTAATTACTGTAAAGGAGGTATAGCATTCTTTCGACCTGGAGCAGCTGGAGACCACAAGCTTGATGAAGTTTCCATTAAAGCAATAGGTTTGTCCAAAATGAACTGCTTGCTTAGAAATTAGGCCCAAATATTAATAATGATATAATATAAACAGTTGATTTGGGGAAGTTTCTATACAATGGAATACTATATTGGCAATGAAAAGACAGTATGTGTATGTTACCACCATGGAAAGATAACCAGGATACATTAAATGAAAAAAAGACCTAGGTTCAACACAGCATACATAGTATGATTATATATGTCTTTGTGTACTTTTATTGCTTTTAATTAAAAAATTGTTTAATAGTGGAAAGTATGTCTCTAGTATTGAAAAATTTTAAACTTAGTTGCCTATCATAAGGGATTTTCCAAATAAATTAACTATACAGTATTAAGAAGAGCTGTGTATATTGGTTTTGAACATTATCTACAATACGCGATGAAGCTTAAAGCAAGTAAACTTCTAGTAAATAGAGTAAGTTATTTACTCTAAAAATGTTTTCAATATTTTTATGCAACTGCCCATGCATGAAATATTCTAGAATAATGTACATAAAAATTCTGAAAGGATTTTCATGACTTTTATATAAGGTGTTGTCAATGAACATATGTTTCTTTTATAATCAACAAAATAAGGACATTTATTTTGGGGGAAAAAACGAGCAGGGATGAAGTTGTTATTATATGAATGTATATACTCATCCAATTTTTCATATTTGCATTCCTGATTTAGGTTGCTTCAGAGAACTTTGTGCTTTGTGTTGGATGCTACATATTCGTGATAAGTTATCCTATAGTTGCAGGCAGTATCAGAAAGCAAGAGAAAATGTGGAGGGAAAAAAGGTATTTACTTGCACAAGAATAAGGGAAATGAACAAACATTACTTGGCAAATTATTGCTTGATAGAAGATTTTACTGTTAATAACAATCTTTCTTTTGAACTCATCCTGATCTTTCCATCTAAATTGAAAAGGAAATGTATTTCTCAATATCCTTTTAGGACCTCGAAGTGGAGTTTGATTCTTGTATGGTTGAGCACTGCCTCAGTGCAGTGGAGTGGGCGTACAGAATGCTGCCCTTCTCTCGGTTTTCTGATATTGAAGAACTTATTCAGGATCTAATTTTGAGCCTTATTGGAGAACTGCCACCAATCAGAAAGGTAATGTGAATGTAGGTGAAAACAAACTAAATGAAAATCAGAGACTTTAAAGGATTTTTGCTTTATTTTAATTAAGAATGATGTTGCTTATAAAACTCACTTTTTTAATTTTTCTGAAGGTAGCAGAAATTTTTGTGAAAGCATTTCCCAATCCTGAAGACATAAGGGTTCCTTTAAGAGAAAAATATCACTCTCTTCAGCAGAGACTCAGACACTGTGTTGTGAAAGGTAGTATTTGTCATTTCTTAGATACCTGATAGATGAATTATGGAAGATTCTCATTTTCTTTTGAAAGCATGTAATTTCTGGTGCTTATGTTTTTATGCATTTCTCCTTTCTTTGAAGATAGTATGAAAAGGCAGAAATAAGCACTCCTCCATTACCAGTTTTGCTTTGGAACCAGACAAAGCTGACTTCATGTCATGGCTCTGTCAGTTAATAGCTGTGTGATTATAGGCAAGTTTCTCAGTCTCTATGGGTCTCATTTCCTTATTTGTAAAATGGGTATAATAATACCTACTTTATGAATGTGTATTAAAAGAGGATTAAGGGGCTCATGGGTAACTCAGTCAGTTAAGTGGCAGACTCTTGATTTTGGCTTAGGGTTGTGAGATTGAGTCCCATGTTGGGCTCCTCGCTGGGCGTGGAGCCTGCTTAAGATTCTCCCTCTCGGGCGCCTGGGTGGCTCAGTTGGTTAAGCGACTGCCTTTGGCTCAGGTCATGATCCTGGAGTCCCGGGATCGAGTCCCACATCAGGCTCCCTGCTCAGCAGGGAGTCTGCTTCTCCCTCTGACCCTCCTCCCTCTCATGCTCTCTCTCTCATTGTCTCTCTCGCAAATAAATAAAATCTTAAAAAAAAAAAAAAAAGATTCTCTCTGTCTCCGTCTGCCCCTCCCTCTGCACACTCTCTCTCTCTCAAAAAAAAGAGAAAGGATTAAATAAGATATATAAAATGAGCATATAGCTCTTTGCATAATGCAGATATTTTATTGAAAACTAGTATTCTTGGGGTGCCTGGGTGGCTCAGTCATTAAGCATCTGCCTTTGGCTCAGGTCATGATCCCACATCTGGCTCCCTGCTCAGCAGGAAGCCTGCTTTTCTCTCTCTACCCCTCCCCCTGCTTGTGTTCCCTCTCTCGCTGTCTCTCTGTCAAAATAAATAAATAAATAAAATCTTAAAAAAAAAAAAAGAAAACTATTCTTCCTCTTCCTTTATGGTTATTTGTATTGCTAATTTTATCCTATACATTCAAGATGCCCTTGTGGAAATTTTTTTTCTTGTGGTTAAAATATACATAATATAAAATTTGCCATTTTTAAGTATACAATTCAGTGACATTAAATACATTCACATGTGGAAATTTTTAAAGAATTCAAATTACCCTCTTTTTTTTTTCTTTTAAAGATTTTATTTATTTATTTGACAGAGAGAGACACAGCAGGATCACAAGCAGCGGGAGTGGGAGAGGGAGAAACAGGCTTCCCACAGAGCAGGGAGCCTGATGTGGGGCTCGATCCCAGGACCCTGGGATCATGACCTGAGCCGAAGGCAGACGCTTAACGACTGAGCCACCCAGGCGCCCCTAAATTACCCTCTTTTTTAATAACTCTAGTATTTAAGTCTAGTTATGTCCTGTGATTGTACATTATTGCATTAATATATTTGTTTTATATTTTTCTTTATACTTTTTTGACATTCTCTAAAATGTCCTGCTTATGTATAATAATGTTTAAGATTTTTTCTGTAGGCAGCCTTGAAAACCTTCCCTTCCTATTGTTTCCCGTTATTTGAAGTCAGAAAGGTGTTCTTGTTTCTTTGGCTAAAATTATACTCCTTTTCTCTTATTTATCACTCGGGAATGGAAAAATTATAGTGATTCTTTCTGTAATTATCTGATTTTTTAAACAGTTAAATTCTTTTTAAAAAAGATTTGTTTATTTATTTGAGAGAGGGAGAGTGAGTGCAGGGAGAGGGGCAGAGGGAGAGGGGGAGAGAGAATCTCAAGCAGGCTCCATGCCCAGCGCGGAGCCTGGATGGGGCTCCAGCCCATGACCCCGAGACCACAACCTGAGCTGAAATCAAGAGCCAGACACTCAACCAACTGAGCCACCCAGGTGCCCTGAAATAGTTAAATTACTTCTTAATTTTTTGTTTTCCAGGGCATATGGTCTTATGGAGTCTGGATTCTGTCCCTTTTATTGTTCTTTAATGGACCTTCTCTAACTTCTGCAATTCTACTTCAAAATGCGGAACATAGCTTTCTAACAAATCCTGAAGAAAGCATGCTCTGTAAGAATATAGAAATAAATCTTAGTCATCAGTTGGATTCCGTGTTCCCAGGAGGGAGTGGAATTGGGTCCCCCTTTGTCTTGAATGGAAACATTTTTTTTTTTTTTAATTTTAATTTTTTTTTTAAAAGATTTTATTTATTCATTTGAGACACAGAGATACAGAGAGTGAGAGAGAGCATGAGCAGTGGGAGAGGCAGAGGGAGAGGGAGAAGCAGACTCCCGGCTGAGCCAGGAGCCCGATGTGGGGCTCGATCCCAGGACCCCGGGATCATGACCTGAGCCGAAGGCAGACGCTTAACCATCTGAGCCACCCAGGCGCCCCTTGAATGGAAACATTTTAATTTACTCTAAGGCCTTTTGTTTTTTCCCTTATAGGTTCCCAAACCGAGGAAATGATGTCTGTTATTATGCATTCTATACATAAAGTGAGAGTGAAAGCCCTAAAACGTGTGCAGAGAAATATAGGTTCTTTTGAGATGAATATCTGGGAACCAGTTGGAGAAGAAAAACCAGCTGAGGTTCCAGGTTTTGATAGGTTTTCCCTAGGAACTAGTTTGAGCAGAAGCACACTCACGGAACTGGGGAATTCTCTAGTCCACAGTGATGCAGATACAGCAGACACCTTCTCGGAAGCATTGTCAGTTGAAGAAAAACGTAGGATACGTGTCTATCAAAGGTACAGTTGAGATCTCTCTCTCTTTTTTTTTTTAGAAAGATTTTATTTATTCACTTGAGACAGATACAGAGAGAGGGAGCATCAGCAGGGGGAGAGGCAGAGGGAGAGGGGGAAGCAGACTCCCCACTGAGCAGGGAGCCCGATGTGGGGCTCGATGCCAGGACCCTGGGATCATGACCTGAGCCGAAGGCAGACGCTTAACCATCTGACCACTCAGGTGCCCCCAGTTGAGATCTCTTAATAGCAAGCATTCACTTCCTTTGGAAAAACATATTTCCAGTATGTTCATGCAAGAGAGAAGCCGATTTCTTGTCCCTCACTGATTGCATTGTTAACAATATGAATGATAAGTGCTACCCTCCCTGACTCACAAGGATGTTAGGAGTGTAAAATGAAACTGTACATTTGAAAATTCATTAAAAATATTATTGAGATATGAAATAATTTTGCTACCTGATAGTATAAAATCAGGTAAGTAGATGAAATTCTAGAGTCCAGTGGGGGGGCATTTAGTTTAGTGGTTTTTTTTTAAGATTTTATTTATTTATTTGAGAGAGAGTGAGAGAACACAAGTAGGGAGAGAGGGGCAGCGGGAGAGGGAGATACAGACTCCCAGCTGAGCAGGGACACTGGGATCATGACCTGAACTGAAGGCAGACGCTTAACCACCTGAGCCACCCAGGCACCCCATTTTAGTTTTTTTAGTAATCTTTAGATTAAATAATTTAGGATTATTGAGTTAGCAATATTATTATTTTTTTTTTTTTAAGATTTTATTTATTTATTTGACAGAGACACAGCGAGAGAGGGAACACAAGCAGGGGGAGTGGGAGAGGGAGAAGCAGGCTCCCCGCAGAGCAGGGAGCCCGATGTGGGACTTGATCCCAGGACCCTGGGATCATGACCTGAGCTGAAGGCAGTCGCTTAACCAACTGAGCCACCCAGGTGCCCAGCAATATTATTTTTAAGGGTTTCCAGGGAAAGGAAATTGCACATTCATCTTTGAAACTTGTCTATAAATTGTCTAGAAATTCTTACCATTTAAACTTCTGTTACTCTAGGTAAATTTTTTTCTTTATAATTCCATTATCTGCTATGTAGTTTATCCTTTTCATGACTGAAAGACTATATAATCAACCATAATCTTGTTTAAATGAAATAATTTTATCTACTTCAAACATAAATGTCTGCTTAAATCATACCTAATAGTATTATAAATGGTGTGCTTGTTTCACCAAGCAATTTTGGTGGAATACACTGGAGGCTGCTTACTGTGCCTTCTTAATAAGAAGAGACATGACACCTTCAGTCCAGGTGCCTTAACACGAACCCTTTATTTCTTTTACTGAGGGAACTAGGAATCTGTTCTTCCCTAAGGATCATGTTGAAAGGAAACAGATTTAAAAAGTAATTATGATTGGCAGTTAAAGGGTTTGCCTAACAGGTTTAGTAGCAGCAGAAAGTTTAGAAAAAATTCCCAACTTTTGTGTAGTACAGTCTTGAGGGCAGTCCTGCTTGTTACACATTGTACGGGGAAGGCTGAAAGGGGCAGATGCAAAAAACAAGAAACGATAAATTAAGATGTATATTGGTGGCTTATGATTTTTATTGACTTTATATTCCTAAATTCTGACCTATTAGTGGACCTTTTTTTTCCAGAAAATTCATGTTTTTATTTTTATTTTTATTTATTTTTATTTTCTTAAAGATTTTATTTATTTATTTGAGAGAGAATGAGACAGAGAGAGCATGAGGGGGGAGGGTCAGAGGGAGCAGCAGAATCCCTGCCGAGCAGGGAGCCCGATGTGGGACTCGATCCCGGGACTCCAGGATCATGACCTGGGCCGAAGGCAGTCACTTAACCAACTGAGCCACCCAGGCGCCCCAAAAATTCATGTTTTTAAAAGTGAAATTTCTATAAACACATTTGTCTTTTTTTTTTTTAAAGATTTTATTTATTTATTTGACAGAGAGAGTGAGCCCAAGCAGGGGGAGCAGCAGGTAGAGGGAGAAGGAGAAGCAGGCTTCCCTGCTGAGCAAGGAGCATGATGCAGGGCTCGATCCCAGGACCCTGGGATCATGACCTGGGCCGAAGGCAGACTCTTAACTGAGCCACCCAGGCGCCCCCATTTCAGTCTTTTTTAACACAAATTTCCCCCTTTTGGTATTAGTGTGTTATATTTTTTTAATCAGAATGTTCATTTAGTCTAACTCCCTCATTTGAAAGGCATTGAGGCATTATATAAAGATATATGATTCAATCAGTGGAGAAAATTTTTGTTGTCAATTCTAACATGTGTTTTAGTGATTAAATCTTTAATTTTGTCTTTTTCAATTTTTTTTGCTAGAGATGCACCAAATCATGTGGAATTAACATCGATTGATAAGTCCAATGAAAAAAAGAAGATATGTAATCAGAAAGAAAATCTTGAAAGAAAAGATCATGAAAAGTTATTACAGAATGCACTTCCTATAATAGGTATTTGGGAATTTGAACGTGATGATGATGAATATATTAAATTTCTTGATCTCTTCTTGAGTTATGTTCTTGAAAGAGACCTACTTGATTCCAAGGATCCTGGCATTCCATTTCTAACCAGTTTTTCTGGACATCTTAGAGAACACGAACTTAATTCTTTACTTTTTGATGTACATACAACATTAAAACGACGTCAAGGCAAAGCCAAAAGCCAGAATGTGTTTAGAGCTGGCTCCTGCTTTGTTGCTTCTGAGTCATATGAGTCTGAAAAGTCAGAAAACCAAGCACTTTCAGCTTCAGTACCGGTTACTCAAGAAATCTGGCCATTTTTAGAGAATCCTTTGAATGAAGTCGATAAAAAGGAAGGGACAAGTGGATTGTTTGGTTTAAAACAAAAGTCAGTTTATAGACTACAAGATGACAGTTCAGAGAAACCTGTAATCCAGAGATTGTCAAACCATATTTTTTGGAATCCCAAGTCCAACAAAACTAGAAGATGTATTTTTAAAGCAATTCAATGCAATGATGTTAACCCTCAAGAAGATCTTCCTCTAGTACTAAACAACACATTTAGTAGTATAAGAAGGCTGCTGGAATGGATGATAAGGTGGTCTAATAAAAGACTGCTCTGTGATCCTAGTCTCACTGAGTTATCCTGTGAATATAGTCCCATCATTCGTGTAAAGACCTCTACAGCTGCCATTCTTACATCATTGTGGCTTTTGGAACAACCATATTTTGCTACATATAAGGCAAAAAATGCCATTTTTAAGGTAAGTACTTGAATTCTTTTTTGTATACAATTGAGAATTCTCATTGTAGATTAAAACTTTTTTTATATTTCTCCATCTATTAAAGAGTCATCGAGTAACAAAGTTAATGACAGTGTTGATTATAATCTGCATAACCAAATTTTTTTTCTTCAAGTGATTCCTTTAATTCTCAAAAATAATTAGGGTAAAATGTTTTCATAGAGGCTTTAAGGTTTTGAGGTTTTATGTGTGTTTATAAAAAAGAAAAAGGAGATAATTTTAAGTAATGCTACAAGTGGTATTGCATTTATATTCTTTCTCTTTCAAGTTTCAGGTTGGTTCAGATGAAGGACTAGGCCTCTAAACAGTTTTTATTACTGGTGTCTCATCATATGCATTAGGGGGTCATTTTTCTTATAGTCTTGACTAGAATTTAGAGAACGAAACCTAGAAAGGCAGATAGGTATCAGTAGAGAACTTAGTGCTTATTAGCTATTTTTTCTTTTCTCTACCCAGTGGCAACTAGCGGGCTGCTCTTTTAACCTGTTTGCAAGAACAAATATTTTTACATAAATATCTTTTGATTGAGTTGTTGCTATTGCACTGGAAAAAAAACTATGGAGATGAACTTTTTGGAAAACCAATTTATGTATGGTAAAGTAGTTGGGAATGGACTTTTTTAATATTTGGAGAATTCCAATAGTTCCTAATTTTTTCTGTTTTTTTTTTCCCCTCAGCTTTATTGAGGTATAATTGGCAAAATTTTAAGATATTTGAAGTATACAGTGTGATGATTTAATAGACATATACATAGGGAAAGGATTCCCCTCACATACTTACTTTTTTTTTGGTGAGACATATAAGTTCTACTCTCTTAGCAAATTTCAGGTATAGTTACCATATTACATTAGCTCCTCAGACCTTATTTACTTTATAACTTAAAGTTTGTATAGGCATACCTAGTTTTATTGCACTTTGCTTTATTATATGTTGCAGATACTGCATTTTATACAAATTGAAGACTTAACCCCGCATTGAGCAAAATCTGTACCATTTTCTAATAACATTTGTTCACCTCGTGTCTCTGTCACATTTTGACAACTCTTGCAATATCTTAAACTTTTCCATTACATCAAAAATAAAGAATTAAGTTCTTAAACTTTGCCATTATCCTTATATTTGTTATGTTGGTTTATGACCAGTAATCTTTGATGTTACTATTGTAATTGCTTTGGGGCACCATGAACCATGCCCATATTAGATGATGAACTTAATAAATGTGTACGTTTTGACTCTACCACCAACTGGCTGTTCCCCCATCTCGCTCCCTCTCCTTGGGCCTCCATATTCCCTGAGACACAACAGTATTGAAATTAGTCCATTTAATAACCCCACAAGGGCTCTTAAGTTTAGTTCAAGTGAATCTCACTTTAAGTCAAAACTTAGAAACAATTAGGCTTAATTAGGCTTAATGAAGAAGGCACGTTGAAAGCTGACATAGGCCAAAAGCTAGACTTCTTGCAACAAATAGTTAGCCATGTTGTGAATGCAAAGAAAAAGTTCTTGAAGGAAATTAAAAGTGCTAGTCCAGTGAACACATGAATGATAAGAACATGAAACAGCCTTATTGCTGATACGGAGAAAGTTTTAGCGGTCTGGATGGAAGATCAGAGCAGCTACAACATTCCCATAAGCCGAAGTAAGGTCTAGTCCAGAGCAAGACCCTGACTCTTCAATTCTGTGAAGGCTGGGGAGGTGAGGAAGCTGCAGAAGAAAAAATTGAAGCTAAGCAGAGGTTGGTTCATGAGGTTTAAAGAAAGAAGCCATCTTCATAACATAAAAGTGCAAGCAAGATGAAGTAGCAAGTGCTGATGTAGAAGCTCCTGCAAGGTATCCAAAAGATCTAGCTAGAATAATTAATGAAAGTGGTTACACTAAACAACAGATTTTCATTGTAGACAAGATAGCCTTATACTGGAAGAAGATGTCATCTAGGACTTTAATAGCTAGAGAGGAAAAGTCAATGCTTGGATTCAAAGGACAGGCTGATTCTCCCACAGGTGCCATTGAGCTGCCCTGTTCATTAGCATACAAGCAGAGGCAGCTGCTGTGGGCAGCTAACTGAACCCCACTTTTTGCTGAGCTTTACATAAACTCCAAGCCCCTGTGCATTTGTGCAGCTGCCCTTCTGGGATAATCTGGCACCAGCCACAGCACAGCAAGACCCTCCCACAGAGGACTAACGTGGGTCCATGCCAGGTCCCTAAAATTTGTGGAGTTTTGAAACCCAGCCGGTGTGCCTGAGATAAAATAGGAGCACTGTACCACCAGGTGGGCAGATGGCTCAGACAGACAGGGTGAAGGCAAGGATCTGACAGAAGCCTGGAACACAGAAGGGGAGATTGTTTGCTCTTCTGTGAGAGCTTCCTGAACAGGGGTAGGCATGAACTCCCCTCTCCAGGGACAAGAGAGCAAGCTGATGCCATTTCCTCCTCCCCCTCCCCCCCCAGTCAGCACAGACGGACTTCAGTGAGCAGCATGGCACCCCACAGTGGAGGCTTGAGCCACTTACATCAAGCCCCACCTCTCTGCACTCTGCAGGTGCTTCTGAACTAGGGCAAGTGTGCCTGAGAGAGCAGCAGCTGTCCCGCGCCCCCCTCCCCCGTCAGAAGGTCAGCACAGACCCCCCCCCCATGCATTAAGCCTACTGACCATAGAGTGTTACAAAGCTTAAGGTCTAGGGGAAATAGGATCTAGCCCCTTTCTTTCAGCGCATGCAGGGAGGGGCAGAGGGGAGGGAGAGGTAGAGAGAATCTCAAGCACTCCGTGCTGAATGTGGGGCCTGACATGGGGCTCAATCCTCCAACCCTGAGATCATGACCCTAGCCAAAATCTGAGTCAGATGCTAACTGACTGAGCCACCCAGGCACCCCAGACCTGGACTCGTTTAAGCAGACTAAAACACACCTAGTTAAAACTCGCCACACCCTGGACGAGTCCAAATACTCCCTACTGCAGGAAAGGAGAAACTCTGCAGAGGACCTACCTGAGGGAAAGAGTAGCCAAAACATAACAGCAGGGTGCACACAGCATACACCAGAAACACTTCATGAAGCACCAGGCCTTGGACAGTATAGAACCTCTTCTTAATATAGCTGTTACTCTCAGGAGCAGGAAACATAGCTGGCTTTCATAACACACGGAAGAGAGACCTAGACAAAATGCCAAGATGGAGGAATTCACCCCAAAGGAAAGAAGAGGTCACTGCCAGGGATATAATCAAAACAGAAGTAATATGCCTGAACCGGAATTTAAAACAACAATCCTAAGAATACTAGCTGGGCTTGAGAAAAGCATAGAAGACACCAGGGAGTCCCTTACTGCAGAGATAAAAAACATAAAAATTAGTCAGACCAAAATAAAAAATGCTATAACCAAGATATAAAATTGACAGGATGTAATGACCACAGGATGGTAGAAGCAAAGGAATGAATAAGTTATGGAAAATAATGAAGCTGAAAAAAGAGGGAAAGATTCTATCATGAATGTAGACTTAGGGAACTCAGCAACTCCATAAAGTGTAATAATATCCGTATCATAGGAGTCCCAGAAGAAGAGAGAAAAAGGGGCAGAAGGTTTATTTGAGCAAATTATAGGTGAAAACTTCCCTAATCTGGGGAAGGAAACAAACATCCAAATCCAGAAGGCACAGAGAATTCCCCATCAAAATCAACAAAAGCAGGCCAATACCAAGACATACCATAGTAAAATTTGCAAAATACAGAGATAAGGAAAGAATCCTGAAATCAGCAAGGGAAAAGAAAACCCTAACGTACAAGGGAAGGCAAATAAGGTTAGCAAGTCTCTCCACTGAAACCTGGCAGGCCATAAGGGAGTGGCATGATATATTCAAAATGCTGAATGGAGAAAATATACAGCCAAGAATACTCTATCTAGCAAGGCCGTCATTCAGAATAGAAGGAGAGAGAAAGAATTTCCCAAACAAAAACTAAAGGAGTTCGTGACCACTAAACCAGCCCTGCAAGAAATATTAAAGGGGACTCTTTGAGTGGGAAAGAAAGACCAAAAGTAACAAAGACCAGAAAGGACCAGAGACAATCTACAGGAAAAGCGACCTTACGGGTAATACAATGGCACTAAATTCATATCTATCAATAATCACTCTGAGTGTAAATGGACTAAATGCTCCAATCAAAAGACATAGGGTATCCGAATGGATAAAAACAAAAACAAGACCCATCTATATGCTACCTACAAGAGACTCATTTTAGACGTAAAGACACCTGCAGATTGAAAGTGAAGGGATAGAGAACCATGCTAATGGATGTCCAGGAAAGCTGGAGTAGCCATACTTATATCAGACAAACTATATTTGTGTGTGTGTGTTTAGAATGAAACTTCTTTTAAAATTTAAATTAAATTAGCCAACATAACTAACCAACATCATTTTTTTTCAAAGATTTTATTTGTCAGAGAGAGAGAGAGAGAGTGCACATAAACAGGGGAAGGGGCAGGCAGAGCAGGCAGAGGGAGAAGCAGGCTCCCCGCTGAGCAGGGAGCCCGATGCGGGACTTGATCCCAGGACCCTGGGATCATGACCTGACCCAAAGGCAGACACTTAACCGACTGAGCCACCCAGGCATCCCCAACATCATTAGTTTTTGATACAATGTTCAATGATTCATTAATTGCATATAACACTTAGTGCTCATCACATCACATGCCGATTAATGCCCATCAAACAAACTATATTTTAAACAAAAGACTGTAATAAGAGATGGAAGTGGGCACTTTATCACAATAAAGGGGTCTATCCAACAAGAAGATCTAACAATTGTAAATATTTATGCCCCCAACTTGGGAGCACCCAGATATATAAATCAATTAGTAACAACATGAACAAACTCATTGATAACAATACAGCAATAGTAGGGGACTATAAAACCCCACTCACAGCAATGGACAGATCATCTACATAGAAAATCAACAAGGCAGCAAGG